GCGTGAGATGGTATCTCAATGTGGTTTTGATTTGCATCTCTCTAATGACCAGTGATGATGAGCATTTTTTCATATGTTTGTTGGCCTTATATATGTCTTCTTTTGTAAAGTGTCTGTTCATATCCTTCACCCACTTTTAAATGGGCTTGTTTGTTTTTTCTTGTAAATCTGTTTTAGTTCTTTGTAAATTCTGGATATCAGCCCTTTGTCAGATGGGTAAACTGCAAAATTTTTTCCCATTCTGTTGGTTGCTGATTCACTCTAGTAACTGTTTCTTTTGCCGTGCAGAAGCTGTGGAGTTTGATTAGGTCCCATTTGTCTATTCTGGCTTTTGTTGCCAATGCTTTTGGTGTTTTGGTCATGAAGTCCTTGCCTACTCCTATGTCCTGAATGGTTTTGCCTAGATTTCCTTCTAGGGTTTTTATGGTGTTAGGTCTTATGTTTAAGTCTTTAATCCATCTGGAGTTAATTTTAGTGTAAGGTGTCAGAAAGGGGTCCAGTTTCTGCTTTCTGCACATGGCTAGCCAGTTTTCCCAACATCATTTATTAAACAGGGAATCCTTTCCCCATTGCTTGTTTTTGTTAGGTTTGTCAAAGATCAGATGGTTGTAGATGTGTTGTGTTGCCTCCGAGGCCACTGTTCTGTTCCATTGGTTTATATCTCTGTTTTGGTACCAGTACCATGCTGTTTTGATTACTGTAGCCTTGTAGTACAGTTTGAAGTCCAGTAGTGTGATGCCTCCCACTTTGTTCTTTTTGCTTAGAATTGGCTTGGCTATGCGGGCTCTCTTTTGGTTCCATATGAAGTTTAAGGTGTTTTGTTCCAGTTCTGTGAAGAAGGTCATTGGTAGCTTGATGGGGATAGCATTGATTCTGTAAATTACTTTGGGCAGTATGGCCATTTTCACGATATTGATTCTTCCTAACCATGAACATGGAGTGTTTCTCCATCTGTTTGTGTCCTCTCTGATTTCGTTGAGCAGTGGTTTGTAGTTTTCCTTGAAGTGGTCCCTTAACGTTCCTTGTAAGTTGTATTCCTAGGTATTTTATTCTCTTTGTAGCAATTGTGAATGGCAGTTCGTTCTTGATTTGGCTTTCTTTAAGTCTGTTATTGGTGTATAGGAATGCTTGTGATTTCTGCACATTGCTTTTGTATCCTGAGACTTTGCTGAAGTTGCTTATTAGTTTCAGGAGATTTTGGGCTGAGACAATGGGGTCTTCTAGATATACAATCATGTCATCTGCAAATAGAGACAATTTGACTTCCTCCTTTCCTATTTGAATACCCTTTATTTCTTTTTCTTGCCTGATTGCTATGGCTAGAACTTCCAGTACTATATTGAATAGGAGTGGTGAGAGAGGGCATCCTTGTCTAGTGCCAGATTCCAAAAGGAATGCTTCCAGTTTTTGCCCATTCAGTATGATATTGGCTGTTGGTTCGTTGTAAATAGCTTTTATTATTTTGAGATATGTTCCGTTAATACCTAGTTTATTGAGGGTTTTTAGCATAAAGCACTGTTGAATTTTGTCAAAGGTCTTCTTTGCATCAGTTGAGATAATCATGTGGTTTTTGTCTTTGGTTCTGTTTATGTGGTGAATTACGTTTATAGACTTGCGTATGTTGAACCAGCCTTGCATCCCCAGGATGAATCCTACTTGATCATGGTGGATAAGCTTTTTGATGTGCTGTTGCAATCGGTTTGCCAGTATTTTATAGAAGATTTTTGCATCTATGTTCTTCATAGATATTGGCCTGAAGTTTTCTTTTCTTGTTGAGTCTCTGCCGGGTTTTGGTATCAGAATGATGTTGGTCTCATAAAAAGATTTGGGGAGGATTCCTTCTTTTTGGATTATTTGGAATAGTTTCAGAAAGAATGGTACCAGCTCTTCTTTGTATGTCTGGTAGAAATCAGCTGTGAACCCATCTGGACCTGGGCTTTTTTTGTGTGGTAGACTCTTAATTGCTGCCTCAACTTCAGACCTTGTTATTGGTCTATTCAGGGTTTCAACTTCTTCCTGATTTAGGATTGGGAGGATGCAAGTGTCCAGGAATTTATCCATTTCTTCCAGGTTTACTAGTTTATGTGCATAGAGTTGTTTGTAATAATCTCTGATGATGGTTTGAATTTCTGTGGAATCTGTGGTGATATCCCCTTTATCGTTTTTTATTGCATCTATTTGATTATTCTCTCTTTTCTTTTTTATTAATCTGGCTAGTGGTGTATTTTGTTGATCTTTTTGAAAAACCAGCTCCTGGATTTATTGATTTTTTGAAGTGTTTTTTGTGTCTGTATCTCCTTCAGTTCTGCTCTAATCTTAATTATTTCTTGTCTTCTGCTGGATTTTGAGGGTTTTTTGATCTTGCTCCTCTAGCTCTTTCAATTTTGATGATAGGGTGTCGATTTTAGATCTCTCCTTGCTTCTCATGTGGGCATTTATTGCTATATATTTTCCTCTAGAGACTGCTTTAAATGTGTCCCAGAGATTCTGGTATGTTGTGTCTTTGTTCTCATTGGTTTCAAAGAGCATCTTTATTTCTGCCTTCATTTCATTGTTTATCCAGTCAACATTCAAGAGCCAGTTGTTCAGTTTCCATGAAGCTGTGCGGTTCTGGGTTGGTTTCTGTATTCTGAGTTCTAACTTGATTGCACTATGGTCTGAGAGGCTGTTTGTTATGATTTCAGTTGTTTTGCATTTGTTGAGCAGTGCTTTACTTCCAATTATGTGGTCAATTTTAAAGTAGGTGTGATGTGGTGCTGAGAAGAATGTATATCCTATGGATTTGAGGTGGAGAGTTTTGTAAATATCCATTAGGTTTGCTTGATCCAGGTCTGAGTTCAAGTCCTGGGTATCCTTGTTAATTTTCTGTCTCATTGACATGTCTAATATTGACAATGGGGTTTTAAAGTCTCCCACTGTTATTGTGTGGAAGTGTTAGTCTCCTCTTTGTAAGTCATTAAGAACTTGCCTTATATATCTAGGTGCTCCTGTATTGGGTCCATATATGTTTAGGATCGTTAGCTCTTCTTGTTTATCGGCCATCTTGGCTTTGTACCCTAACATAAGATTTTCTACTTTTTCTTTTGCCTTTGTTTCCAGCTTACTAATTACAGATTCTGAAAAACCATTTCACAAGCCTGTTCTGTGGAACCCCTTTCTGGCCATTTCCTGAAGCAACTTTCTTTCCTAATCATTCCCATAACAGGAAGGCAGGGTTCTGCATGTGGAGGGTGGTGAGGGAATTCTGGAATCATCTAAGTGGCAAGCCCAGGGGCATGGGTTTCAGAGAACACGCAGAGGAAAGTGGAGGCTTGCGAGGTGTGGAAATACCTGATGGAATTAACCCTCTTGCCGGAAGCAAGACTGAGCGCATGGAGGGGCTGTGGAGCTTGCCGAAGGGTTCTGCTGGATGGGAAAGTGTCTCCTCCACCTACTGTCTGCTTCTGTCCTATCTTAGCCCAGCGGAGCTGTTTTAACACAGACATTTGCAGCCTGCCCGGTACTCTCCTGGAACCAGTAAGTCGCCAGTTAGGAAAAAGATCAGCACTGACCAAACACAGAGGATTTTGGAAACCTGCATTAATCCCCAGTGGAGGCAGAGGCTGAGAATGCTGAAGCCACAGCTGCGACATGGCCACACTCTGCACGTGTCCCCAGGCATTGATTTCTGCACCCTCAGGGTGGCTCACAGGCTCCAGAGCTGGGGCTTAGGCCCTGCTGACCTCAGCCAGCTGTCTCCTGTCACCTCAGACTGGGCGAATTCCTGGTGTGCTTCCCTCCTGCGCCTACTCGACAGTGCTGTGGCGTTTGCAAGCCCCTCCTGGCAGGGCTGTGGCATCGGACAAGTAGGGAGCGGACTTCAAGTGAGACAATGTGGATGAAGCCTGGGGCCCGGCTCCCCAGCAGCACCCGTTCCTGCCACTGTGGCCACTGTGGCAATGTGGCTGCTTCTATTTCCTTGGGCTCTGTTGCCATCTCATCCTGGGCGGGGCACCTTTGCCCTCTGCACCTGCCACCATCCATCCTCTTACTCCAGAGCCTCCTTTTACTCCTGCTTTTGGGAGGGAAGCAGCCCCTGGCTTGGGGAGCCTGCCTGGTCCTGGGGTGGCTGCCTGCCAGGGCCCCGGTGTCCCCCGTCCAGGGGCTCCTGCCTCACCTCTGAGCTCTCCCTCTCACTCCTGTCCCCTTGGCCTCTCCCAGCTGGGGCCTCACTGTCTGTCACCCCTGAATGGACCTGACACTGACAACCTCAGAACGGCAGGGCCCTGTGACTGTTCCACTCACCTGCTTCAATCAGCACCTGAGGACCAACCTTCACCTGCGCTTGGGCATTTAGTTGAAATGCAGTTTTGGCAATAATGTAACTGTGTGGAAATGCTAGAGCAGGCGGCTGTGGTGTGGAAAGGTGAACTCTCTGGGGACGTGTGTGGCGTCTGTGTGAGAAGTTTATTCAGCAAGCAGCTACTTCACAGTAACATAGAGAAAGTGGGTGTGAAAACTGCCCTTCCCCACATCCCTGAGACTGCCAAGAAGACCAGGACATGCTATTACATAAGTTCTAGAAGTGAAGGAAGGAGGCACGGGGAGCTAAGGGGTTTGATCTCAGATTCACTTCCTACGCACAGCTCGAGTGTCTGCAGAGAATCAGGACCCTTCGTGCATCCACTCTGAGTGGCGTGGCCCCAGCTTAAATTTGGGAAGTCTTTGCAGCGGCAAAAGTCATGAAATTAGGTGGCAACACCTCAGACCACCAAAAGGGAGGGTTGTCTCTCGTTAACAGATGTGGCTCGTCGGCTCATGCTAAAGGACAACAAAGTATTTATCCCCGGGTCTTGGATTCCAAGGTCCTGAGCTCTTCAGTACTGGGCAATTTCACATTTGTTCATTTCGCACAAGGGGGAGGCAGGGACAGTTGTGGGGTTTGTGCCAGGCAGAGCCGAACACATCGGGGGCCCTGGGGAGAAAGGGGTGGGGACAGCAAAGGCACCAAGGGTCTCGGCATGGGGTTGCCAGCAGCCAGTGGACACCAGATGGGAAGGAAAACCACACTCCCACCGTTTGCCTCTGCCTGTGGGGCGCTGCCCCCACAGTGCCTCGCAGGTGTCCGCAGTCTCACCCCCTCTTATTTCTCACCCTGAGGTGGAGAATCACAGCCGCTGCACGTAGCTGTAAGCACCACAAGGCCAGCGGCCTCCCCACGGACTCACTGGATGCATGAACCACCAGCCTCATCCTGAACTCCCCTCCATGGACGTGAGCCTCATTAGCTTTTCTCCCGTTTATAGGCAATGGAAGGCCAAACCCCTTAGAGAAAGAACAGGAAACTGGGGTGAGCCAACTGCCTCCTGCGTTGAGATGTAAAAATTGAGATTTATTTGCAGAAGGAAAAGCCGGCTCCGCTGTCCCGAGCGCCTGGAAAAGGGCCGGCTCCGCTGTCCCGAGTGCCTCTGTCTCTCGCAGCTGGATCCCCTCAGTCACCCACCCTTTCTCTTCACTCCTTGAAAATCGGCTCCCCTAGCTTTGCCCAGGCAGGGCAGCGACACGGTGGCAGGTAAATCCTTTCTCTTCACAGCAGACTCTCCGATATTCTCCCGCGTTCCCCACTCCTGTCTTCGTAAATGAAAAGCAGCAGCTTGTGGTCTCCTGCACACCGGTGCCTCCCGTCTGCAGCCCCCTCCAGGACATGGGCTGTGACGCTTACCCTCCTCCAGAGGCCTTACTGCACCCACCTGCAGCCACTGTCCCAACCTCAGCCCGCCTTTTTCATCCTGAGCCACAGCACGTGTCCCCTGGGAATCTGTGGCTCTGGCCTTCACCTCTGATAATTCACTCCCCCGTCAGCCCCCGGGACCCCTGAGACAACTCAGCCTGAGCCCCCGGCCTTCCAGGCCTCCCCAGCTGTGTTTCTGGTCATTCCTTTCCTCGGACCCCTCCGGCTTGGATGCCCATGACGCCACCTGGCCTCCCCTACACACGGGCTCAGTTCTCCCCCACGATCGCCATTGGCTTGGTTTCTGCTTCCCCTGGTTTTAGGGGTCAGGCTGCTGAGCGCCGTTCTTCTCAGGGGTCTGTCCTCCTGTCTCCGTGGGTTGCAGCCTCCAGGTCTGATCCGACAACTCCACATGCAGTGCGGCCCAGGCCGCACACAGAGGAAGACAGCAGAGTGGCCGTGAGGCTCCCGAACCCCCGCCCACAGTCCCGCTGCATCCACTGCCCTCCTGCACCCGGCACTGGGCGGCGGGGGCTGGGTGTGCAGTGTCCCTCCTCCCTTCTCAATCTGATGTGAGCTCTATTAGGCCAGGGACCAGTCTCTAGAAGCCGTGGGACTACTCAGCCTCCCTGGCAGAATATCTTGCACATAGTGGTGGCCCCATACCATATTTATTTTCTATATGTGCATTTATTTTATAAATTTCATGCAGGTCAGAGAAATTGCAATTATCAATTACTCTAGAAAACAAAAGGACAAAAGCAAGAGCTGGAAATACAGAGCGAGCAGCATGGGAACACACCTGCAAAGGCAGAGAGCTCCCAGGCTCGCGAGAGAAGGACAGAGCCCTGCGGGGCCAGTCAAGGCAACATCATCTCTCAAATGGGGAGGGAGAGAATCCGCCCATCTCAGAGGGGCCTAAACTACCCTCACAGCCTTTAATGAGACAAAGAGCACACACGGGGGGTGGGAAGACAGCCAGATGACCAAACGCTGTGCCCACCACCTCCTGCCCAGACACCCTCCTGGACCCCACAGACGGCGGCAGCAGCACAAACTCAGACCTGCAGCCCAGGCCTGACTCGCCACAGTGGCTCTGCCCTCCACCACCGGTGACCGACCTGTCACTTTCTCACTGATCCTTCACTTTCCTATGAAATGGGGCTACGACTGCCTCTTTCTAAGCTTGCCATGGGGATTAATTTTTGAGATAACAGACATTGAGATAACCAGCCTCCAAGTGTTACATCGATGTGATCATCCTGAGACTGAGAGGAAACATTCGAGCGGCACTAGAGGGTGGCGTGGCTGTGATGGGGGAGGGAGGGTGGATGTCCCCGGGTCTCTACCAGGGAGAGGCTGCAGCAAAGGACAGTCACTGTTCCTGGTGTCTCCTTTTCCCTTCAGGACAATGAATTCCGGGTTTTCTGCACCTGAGTTCTCTTCCTCTCAAATGGAATCACTCCTACTGTCTGTCTTGGGAGTATTCACAGACATAAACAATTAATTATCACAAAGGGCTTTGAGAATAAATGAGCTTACTCATCGGTTGTGGTATTTATGATAATAGCCCTGTGCTGCTGGCTTCCCAGGGTATGATCACTGGTGCAATGCTTAGTTTTATGACTGGCTTTCTCAAACTTAAAATACTCTTATTTTAAAGTAATCAAATGACCTGTCAAAAGACCTTCCTGCATTCATCCAAGGTCTTATTTGGAAAAACTTAACATCTGATCCTAGATCTATTTTAAACAGTGCCAAGTTAACTGACACTGATGCCATCTTATCTGGGGTCCCCAGGAAATGTAGAGGGGACAATTAACCATAGGAAGACTTGGACTCGGGTCTGCCTGTAACACTCAGAGACAGCAAGGCAACATAGTTATTTAGCTTTATTAAAATTATTGGCTGGGCGCCGTGGCTCCTGCCCGTAATCCCAGCACTTTGGGAGGCTGAGGTGGGTGGATCACCTGAGGTCAGGAGTTCAAGACCATCCTGGCCAACATGGTGAAACCCTGTCTCTACTAAAAATACAAAAATTAGCTGGGTGTGGTGGTGGGCACCTGCAATCCCAGCTACTCGGGAGGCTGAGACAGGAGAATTTCTTGAACCCAGCTGGCAGAGGTTACAGTGAACCAAGATTGTGCCACTACACTCCAGCCTGGGCAACTATACACACACACACACACACACACACACACACACACACACACACTCACACATATTTTTCCATCTCAAAAAAAATTATTTAATGTAGCTATAAGCCAAACCACAGCCACTCCCCCTCTAGCCACTCCCCCTCTAGAACTTCCTGTAAAAGCCAAGCAGCTGGAAACCCTTGCTGTCTACTCTGCGCTGCAGCAGATGGGGGATGACACCCAGGTGTGAATTCAGCCCGCACCCCCTCAAGATGAGCTGTTGGAAGGCAGTTGCCCCAGCAAGTCCTGCAAGGTTCTCTTTAAACATGAGTGTTTCATTAAACAAAGAACCTTCCCGGCATTGCCTCCCGAGGTCTGGTTAATGATGCTCCTGGCACCTCCTTCTTCACTCAGGGATCACTTCCCTGCAGCACATTCCCAGAGCCAGGCTTCCCCACCAGAGATGTGAAGATTCTAGGCGATGTTTGTTCTTGTTTGTTGTCAACATGTATGAGGGTGGATACCCCACTGGTCAGGCGAGCCTCACGATCCCTGTTCCTCAGTTCCAGCCCAATCAATGGGTCATCTTCACCACCCGGTGAAGCCTGGTCCCCATCTATTCGGAAAGGAAAAAGGAAAGAGCATGTTTTGCCTGGTCCCCAGGATCCGGGTTTAGCAGAGGCAGCCCCTCACCCAGGGCTCCCCAGGCCACTGCCTTGCCCAGGAGTGCCACCCCGTGCCCCACAGAGGAAGTGCAAGTGCCTGCACAGTGCGGGCGAAAGCCACACGGTGAGACCCAAAGCCACACAGGGGAACCCGCAGCACAGCTCTCAGAAATCCAGAAATCCAGAGTCCACTCACAAGAAGAGCTCCTCCACCAAATCACTGAAAAATAAAATGAGAAATGAGTCGCCACCATATCCCCTCTAGTCAGCCACACAGAAAATGCCACCTGGTCAGCGTCATTTCTGCTGCCAGGGCTCCTCCAGGCAAGCACAGCCTTGAGAAGGGCCAAGGACAGGCAGGAGCCAGCACACAGAGTCGTAGTTCAGAGGCCTTCTCAGCTGAACATGACGTTATTCTGAGCTCGGGCCCCCGAGTGAGGACTCAGGGTCAAGCGTCCCATTCCCCGCCAGCTCCTTTATCTAAAGCTGTGCAGAGAATCCCAGGCTATGAGTGGGGATGGGGAAAGACGTATAGGGGCTGCTTTAGCTTCACTGCTGAGATATGAGAACGTCCTCTGAACACACATGCAGATAGCTGGACCTCTAGACAGAGGGAACCCAAATCATTTATTTCCTCCCAGCGTAAGGGAACAATCTGGTAAGAGCTGGTGTTTATCGATGCTACGTGTCCAGAATGGGGCTGAGTGCAGCGCCTCACTGTGTCCTAACATGTGTCTAATGAGGCAGGGAATGTCACCGTCACACTCCGCAGACGAGGAAGCCAAGCTGTCAGCAGGTACACGTTTTGCCATGAAGCCAGTGACCTGTGGCACTGAGATCACACTCCGGTCGTCCACGGACAAGTCTGTGGCCTCCTTCTCTGGGATTTGCCTGCCTCCTGATGGCCCCCATGTCCATGTCCCCTGGCAGGGGCTGGCTCTTCTGGTGGTCTGTACCTTTTGGTTGCAAGCAGCAGAGATTCCCTCTAGTGCTTGTTGAAAGCACTCACATCAACAGGGCCTCAGGAAGGAGCTGAGGCCGTGCACGGTGCTGTGGCTTCTCCTCAAGCTTCGCATCCCTGGCCTGCCTGTCCCTCAATGTGTCCTGCTATCTCCACAAGGCAGCCGGCCCAGCCCTGTCCTCCTCACCTTCCAGCCCCAGCTGAGCAGCCCCTCCAAGCACCGTCTCCAGCTGCTGCCCAGGCTCTACTGAGGTGTCCACCGCCCACTCAGCCACAGTGTCTAGAGGGCAGAGCGACCCGCTGGGACCTGCACAGCACCTGGCCCCACCCACACGCCCACATGCCCTGCGGTGATGCCCGAGGAGTGCACAGCAGCACATGTGTGCGTCCTGTGTCCCGCTGGCATGCACCGAGTAGCATGTGTCAGTCACGTGTCGACGCGATGCACTGGTTCAGGCAGTATCGTGGATGCTGCGTTTCTTTAAAACGGTCAGATTTGAGGAAATGACCTAACAAAAACCAATTGATGAACATTCTGTAAAGGTGACATAACAACCTCAAAAATGTCTCTGACAGAGAACAAAAAGGGAGCTATTCTAGATTCTAAAAATAAAAGATACAGTAACTAAAAGCGGCTGTGCTGTTTGGATACAAACGGAAGAGGTTACCAATGACATTATTATTCACACTAGGAAAAAATGCATATGGACCTTATATTAGATTATGGTGCTGTGTTCTTGTTCAATTTCCTCAATGTGATAACTGAAGGGGAATGATTTTGTTCTCAATAGATGAATGCTCACATATTTGGGAGCAAAACACAATGATAACTTTCAAAATGGTTCAGTCAGAAGAATGATTATATATATATATACTCAAAAGGGACAGAAAAATGTGGTAAAACGCCAATGACATTTGAACAGTCATGTGGGAATCCATTGGACTATTCTAGAAACATTTCTGTAGCTTTAAAATGATTTAAAATAAATGTTGTCGGGGAAGAGCACACATTTAAGGTAGTAAAAATATTCAGGACACACAAAGAGGGGGAGCAAACAGGTAAAACGACAGGGCATCTGACCTCAGAAAGCTGTGCACATGCCTCCCAGTAAGGCAGTGGCACGGACAGAACTTTGAGGGCAGGTCACATCTCCACTGAGCGGAGCAGAGGATAGGGTGTCTGCAAACAGTGAACTTTAAGCCATTTCTTTAGTCCACATTACAGTGAATCAACAGAAGAGTTGGGAAAGCCAGTCGCACCAGACTATCTTCACTTTGTTTAATGACAGAGATAGGCGGGGACAGGGAACCGATGTCCCAGGTGGATTCTCAGCCACACGCTTGGAGCCCCAGAGGAGCAAGTACAGGAGACAGTGGCAAGGACACAGAGCAGGCCAGGCTGTTCCATCATTTAATTTAAGAAGGGAGGGCGGGGCGCGGTGGCTCACGCCTATAATCCCAGCACTTTGGGAGGCCGAGGCAGGTGGATCATGAGGTCAACAGATCGAGACCATCCTGGTCAACATGGTGAAACCCCGTCTCTACTAAAAACACAAAAAATTAGCTGGGCATGGTGGCGCATGCCTGTAATCCCAGCTACTCAGGAGGCTGAGGCAGGAGAATTGCCTGAGCCCAGGAGGCGGAGGTTGCGGTGAGCCGAGATCGCGCCATTGCACTCCGGCCTGAGTAACAAGAGTGAAACTCTGTCTCAAAAAAAAAAAAAAGAAAAAGAAAAGAAAAGAAGGGAGGTAACTCAGGAAAAAGTCAGTGGCAGAGCAGGTGCAGGTGCCAGATGTACCAAGGTGATGCATTCTTCAAATATTGCTCAGAACATGCCTTCACATCTCATCAAAACAACTTGCAAAAGCAAGAAAACATCATCCTATAGCTAAATTCCACGCCCGTGCACTCAGAAAGACCGTGTACAACTTCATTTACTCTCCAATATGGCCTGTCAGATGAACACTTGTGAATTCGTGGCAATGTTTGCTGTTTCTTTGAAAATAGTCATTTTCATCATTGTTTTTGATGGAAAACAAATTAAGCTAATCTTCAATTGTTCCCTTGCCTCCAGTAATTCAGGTCTGCTCAAGGTATTCAGCCAGCCAGCAGAGAAAGAAAATAAAGGTCAGGCACGGTGGCTCCTGTCTGTAATCCCAACACTTTGGGAGGCCAAGGTGGGTGGATCACTTGAGGTCAGAAGTTCAAGACCAGCCTGACCAACATAGTGAAACCCCCATCTCTACTGAAGAGTTGGTCTCCCCATCTCTAATAAAAATACAAAATTAGCCGGGCGCAGTGGCACACACCTGTAATCCCACCTTCTTGGGAGGCTGAGACAGGAGAATTGCTTGAATCCAGGAGGCAGAGGTTACAGTAAGCTCAGATCATGCCTTGCGCTCCAGCCTGGGCAAAAAGAATAAAACTCCATCTGAAACAAACAAAGAGAGAGAGAGAGAGAGAGAGAGAAAGAAAGAGAGACAGAAGGAAAGAAAGAAAAGAAAAGAAAGAAAAAGCAGGGGATCCCAGGAGCTGGAGACTGGAGTGAGATGTAATTGTGCCACTGTGCCCCAGCCTGGATGATAAAGGGGAGGGCAGTGGAGGGGAAGGCAGTGGAGGGGAGTGGGAGAGAAAGGAAAAAAGAGAGAGACAGAAAAAGAAAGAGGAAGGAAGAAGGAGAGGGGAGAGAGGGGAGAACAAAGGGCAAACAGAAAACAACAAGCACACAGGAGAGTTTGAAGCAGTTTGCCGCTGAGTTCTTGGGTCCCCCAAGCCACACGACACCGCGGGCCATCAGCCAGCAGCACAAATCGCTCTTGCTACACCTTTGGCCCCTGCTAGCAAGACGGTCAATGTGGCGGAATCCCTCGGGAAGGCAAGAACAGAGGACGTTTGCCTCTAAAGGGTTAAATTCTAAGTTAATTCAACTGTGAGCAGAGACAGGTAACATTGTTTAAGGCAAGATAACAAATTGTAGCCATATACAATGTGACTGCAACCCGAATGGGCATACACTGCAGCTGACCAAGGGAAGCGTCCATCAGAAGCAGGGTGGGCAGCAGGGGAAGGAACAGCAAGGGAAGGTGGAGCTGCCCAGGAGCAGGCCTGCCCAGCATCCGCAGGGAACAATCACTGCTCAAGACGGCTGAGCTTCCCGGAGACACAGGCCGGGCCCAGGAGCCTGAGCATCTGGTGCTTCAGATGGGGTCTCTTCATTGGAACAAACCAATATAGCCCCTGATCTCTGGTATGCAGCCACTGAGCGGGCAAATGATTTTTCTCTATACCTGCTGATATAGGTCGGGGTTTTGTCCCCTCCAGTCTCAGGTCGGAAGCTGTCTGTTCTCACCCGGCAGGGGCAGCAGCAGCCTTGGTGGGCGTGCATCAGGGCTCTGCTACCTGTCCAGTTCCTCCACGAAACCCAGAGCTCTTCTGAGAACCAGCTCTCAGCTTGCTTTCTGGGCCCTGATGGATACCGAACATCTACACTTCACACCTCACCACGGCACAGACAATGACAGCTAGCTGAACCACCAAAGACGGTTATCTGACCTGTCATGTCACCAGATGAGGCAACTGTGGGAGCCTGTCATCATTACATTCAGGCAAGATGGATGCATTTAGTAGATATATAGGTGAACACACACACGAGCACACACACAGCACACACACACGAGTGTGCACGCACGAGCACACACACACGAGCACACACACAGAGCACACACACAGGCATGCACACACTGATCAGGCTTTCCCATGTTCTGCAACACAAGATACACAAGCAAGTGGTTCAGATGCTCTGTGAGCCCATGGGGCTGCACGGGCAGCACCCTCGCCACGCCCCACACTGCTGCGTGGGCAGCACCCTCTCACCACGCCCCACACTGCTGCGTGGGCAGCACCCTCTCACCAGGCCCCACACTGCTGCGTGGGCAGCACCCTCTCACCAGGCCCCACACTGCTGCGTGGGCAGCACCCTCTCACCAGGTCCCACACTGCTGCACGGGCAGCACCCTCTCACCAGGTCCCACACTGCTGTGTGGGCAGCACCCTCTCACCAGGTCCCACACTGCTGCACGGGCAGCACCCTCGCCACGCCCCATACTGCTGCACGGGCAGCACCCTCGCCACGCCCCACACTGCTGCACGGGCAGCACCCTCGCCACGCCCCACACTGCTGCGTGGGCAGCACCCTCTCACCAGGCCCCACACTGCTGCGTGGGCAGCACCCTCTCACCAGGCCCCACACTGCTGCGTGGGCAGCACCCTCTCACCAGGCCCCACACTGCTGCGTGGGCAGCACCCTCTCACCAGGCCCCACACTGCTGCGTGGGCAGCACCCTCGCCAGGTCCCACACTGCTGCGTGGGCAGCACCCTCTCACCAGGCCCCACACTGCTGCACGGGCAGCACCCTCACCACGCCCCACACTGCTGCGTGGGCAGCACCCTCTCACCAGGCCCCACACTGCTACGTGGGCAGCACCCTCGCCACGCCCCACACTGCTGCGTGGGCAGCACCCTCTCACCAGGCCCCACACTGCTGCATGGGCAGCACCCTCTCACCAGGCCCCACACTGCTGCGTGGGCAGCACCCTCTCACCAGGCCCCATACTACTGCGTGGGCAGCACCCTCACCATGCCCCACACTGCTGCATGGGCAGCACCCTCTCACCAGGCCCCACACTGCTGCACGGGCAGCACCCCTGGCCTGGCACCTACTGGCCTCACGGGGACTTCCCTAGGATCACTCACCTGAATTAAAAGTTAGATTTGGTTTTTACAAAAGATGCGGACACCACCCGAAGGTGAAAGTTGGCCACATTCTAGCCCATTCGGGTGGCCCTAAAAAACAGGACGGGAGGGGCCCATGCCGGTTTATGCATCCAGGCGCTCACTTTTTCTGGAAGGAGTGATGGCCACCAGCATGGATGCTCACGAGTGCTCAGTGGGCAAGTCTGGCTGGTGGATCCGCATCTAGGAGGAAAAGGACTGGGAACCAGTGGCCAGCGCTCTCTAAACTATCGACGAGGGCACCTGCAATGAGCAGCGTGAGGAGCGCATGTTCTGTGAATGCTCCCAGTAAGCGGGCGGCAGGACGGCTGCTCATGCACGTCGGCCTTTCTCTCCAGTCACCCAGCCTGGCTCAGCGTTCTCATAAACAAAGTGGCTGTGGAGACAGTGAAGGCCGCCGCAAATGGCTTCAACCACATGGGTGTCCTCGCTCCAAGGCTAGCCCGGCTAAGGTCCACTGCCAAATGCATGAATCTGCTCACAGGAGAGAGCAGCACAATGCCTAGTATGAAAAACTCACCTGGAAAGAACAGCCAGCCCCCGAGCACATCCGGCCGTGTGTTCTGGGAGGGACAGAGACGCCTCCTGGCCACTGCAGCTGGCTCACAGAAGGCTCATCTGCTGCACGGGCAGCTTACCGTTCTTCCAGGAGACCCGTTTCACAGCAGACCTCAGCAGTGAGGCCCATGGCAATCGTGATCCCGGCACACCCCTCATCACACGGGGAGCCTCCCAAGCACTGGGCAGTGCTATGACGAGGCCCCCTTGGGGGCTGCTGGGTCACCCAAGAAGTGCCGTGCACTCCATCAGTCAGCACGTGGTGTGGGTTCTCCCATGGCCAGAAAACCCAAGTGCAGGTGCATGTGAAACAGGAATGGCTCCTCTCCTTACACCCCTGTACCACTAGCAAGGTTTTGGATTCTCTGCTCACAATTCTGGGCTGTGCTGGTTTGGGTGTCTTCATATCTTGGATGCTTCCACAGAGGGACACGGGTGCACACCACCTGCAGGCGGAGGCTGCCACCCAGCAGCACTGATGCCTTGTGCCAATGCGCCAGGTTTTCTGCTATGGCCAGCTGACTGCTCTCAAGGGTCTTGGGGAAATACAGCTCCCACCACAGAATGGGGGCCTGGGAGGAGTGTCTGCAGTTTAGCGGATTCTCTAGAGAACTCTTGGTATTCCCAAGTCCAGTGGTAAGTCAATGGAAACCTACAGTTACCCCAAAGGAGAAAGATTTCTAATGGGAAAGACCTTTGGGGAATGAGGTCTGGGTCGACACATCCGGTGAAAACCACGACCCAGAGAGGCAAAGGAAAGGAGCATGGAACAGTGGCAGAAAGGGCGTTTTCAAAGACAAACCTGCCAGGTCAGCAGGTTGAAAAAACGGCACGCAGTAGCTTCGTGGTCTCATTGCTTTGGTGAAATACACCTGCATCTACAAGCTAACTCTACTAGTCAATCGTTTCCCTCTTTCCATCCCAGCACCGCTATAGCAGGATGGTCAACCCTACAGTCACCATTTAAATGCAAGAGAGGTGTGATGGCGCCATCAAAGAACACCCCCAGAGTGGGAATACTGACACATGGGGGTGAACCATCTTCAGTTGTACAATCACATTAGCCAGAAGCATTACACGTATGCAGGTGTTTAAAAGGGGCTACAGCTGAGCCGGCAGGGGGACAAACAGCACATGCTCAGCTCTGCTGCCCCATGCGGCCCCCAGGTCTCCTCAGCTGAAGCAGCCACAGAACGTGCGTCCTTGCATGGCTGCCAGCTGCACGCTGTTAGGGTTTAGAAGGTGGAAAAAGAGAAGCAGTGACTCATGGAGGGTGGGGTGTCCCATGCCCGGGCAGACATGAGGCCAAGACAGCCGTCCCGGGGCTTCTTGAGAGCCTGAGCTCTGCAGCTGCCCACTCAGACAGCGGGGACTCCCAGGCACTCTCAAGAGCTGCAGCAGCTGCAGGAACCCTTGAGGCAGACATTTGGGTTCTTCAAGCAGGGCCTGTGAATAGCAGCTTCCCTAACCTCCTTTCCCCCAGCTCTCCCAGACCCTGCACTGAAACCCCCACATCTAAAAACAGGGAACGGCTTCTGCTTTTTTTGCCAAATGCTGGCCAACACCCCTGCCTGCCCACCTCCCCTTTCAGGACTTGGTCTCCAGCACTGACCTGGGAACTTTAAATTGTTATCGGTCCTCTCCTCAGCCCCAGGGCCTCACCCTCCCTGTCCTGATGGCTGGTCCAGGAGTCTATGTCTCCTGAGGCCTGGCCAGGGAATGCAGGGGAGGGTCCCAGCCACTGTAATTCTCAAGAGTAGGCACGTGGCCAGTAACAGGGGAGCCATGCATTTCTGAGTAACAGTTGGGTGAAAGCAGCTCTTCCTTCTTCCTCTGGACGGGTAACATGCAGAGATGGAACCAAAAACTACAACAGCCATTTGGCCACCACAAAAGAAGCCAGACTGAGACTCACACCGATCACTCGGAAAGGGCAAATCAGGATGCTGCAGAGAAACAGAACCTGAAGCCTGGTCAAGCAGACCCTGAACTCCGCCCGAGCTCTGGCTTTTCAATTTACACGCTATTAAAATTGTTATAATTAAACACATCCCAACTTATAAGTGTTTTCATAAGAGTCCTTTACTTGTGGATTTCTTAGCTAAATGTATTAACATTTGTTTCTTCTCACTAAAAGTCCAAATTTTCAACAAAGCTGTATGTGTAAGATGGATGGTTTCATTCCACTTGTTCTTTTCGTAGCTGGTGTAAGCCACCAGGTTCTCTGTGTATTGCAAGATGGACTTTACAAACCTGTAAGAAAAAATTAATTGTTTTATGTACTCCGTTATAAAATGAAACGATGAATTAAACATTTTCTCTTCATTCTTGGAACTATTCCTAAAGTAAACTGCACTTACTTATGTCTGAGGATTCAAGGAAAATAAATCCATATAAAATAAAAATAAGAGAATACAAATTAGAGGAAAGAGAAAAGTGCGGAGATGTGACCACTGCTGGACACCTGCACAGGCTCCCACGCAAGCACCTTCTCAGACATTCTTTCTCCAGCTCAGACATGATGGCTGTAATTCCAGGAAGGAACTCAGGGGTCACCTGCACCAAAGTGACATACAACACAGACTAAATGCGCAACACATCCTAAACATACAACACAGAATAAACGCACAACACGGAATAAACACACAGTACACAGTCATCCAGTGGATACCAAAATCCAAGCATACTCAAGTCCAGCGTGAAGAACTGGCCCCCTGTACATGCAGTTTTCGCAGTGAGATTTTCGTGGTTTTCCCCACACTGATGTCTGCAACCAAGAACGCTGTAATTTCAGTCTGTGTTTGCATGGGACGCAGCGCCTGCTGACACAGAGGACCAACCGTATTTACTGAGAAAACTCCCTGTACAGGTGGACCTGTGCAGTCCAAACCTGCGTTGTTCAGGGGTCAGCAGCAATGACAAGCAAGCCGTTTAGCCCCATCAGGAGCCTCGTGGGCAGGGTACCCTCTCCCTCCTCACATGTCCAGCCTCCGTGCTTCGTGATGGAGGGGCTGGCTCAGAGGAGACACATGCCACTGAGACAGTTGTTGCTGTGAAAGAGATTTTCTTTAAGATTATTTGTCAGAATGTATACAGTGGGGTGGCTCTGCCTGATAAATGTCATCTTCACTTTGTTTTACATTTGCCAGGTAGTTTTCACCAACATTTTATCTTGAAAATATTCAAACTTAAAGAGAAGCTAAGAGAATAATCCAATGGAAAGCCACAGCTACTCTGTCTAGAAGAGGGTTCGCTACTAGGGTATTTTGACCTGTAGGAGATACCTGGCAATGTCTAGGCCACTTTTGACTGCCACATGGAGGGTGGGACACAACTCTACATGACTGGTACTTTGTGGGTAGAGGCAGGCCTGCTGCTGCACGTCCTACCATGAGCAGGGCAGTCCCTGCACCAGTCCACAGTGCCAGCAGTGCCCAGCATGGGGCGCGCTGAGCTGGAGTCCCCTAACACTGAGCTGTGCTGTAACAGGCTGCACATCTGCTACCCTCACTCTCAGCAGGAGCCTCTGCTTCTTTCCATAAGACACCCCAGTTGTATTTTCACATTCATTTAAACATGTATTGAGCTGCCTGGCACCTGCAAAGCATTGGCTTAAAACCAAGATACCCAGAACCTCCTGGCAGCTGAGGGAGGCTGGAGCTGCAGCTACACCCAAGTCCAGATGACCACTTTTGGGACCTCTACCTGGAAGCGTCCTCAGTTTGGATCTCTGGACGTCAAGTGAGTCATACAAGTGTCACACCACTTCGACTCCTAGATTGGGATGGTCCTAAAAAGTGAACTTCCCAAATCTGAAACTATTAGTTACATACATAAATTTGGTTTTTTGTCTGGTGCCGTGACTTTTACACCTGTAATCCCAGTACTCTGGGAGGTGAAGGTAGGAGGATCACCGGCGGTCAACACAGTGAGACCTCATCTCTACAAAAAAATTTACAAATTAGCCAGGTATGGTGGCACAGCTGTGGTGCCAGCTACTCAGGAGGCTGAGGTGGGAGGACCATTTGAGCCTGGGAGGTTGAGGCTGCAGTGAGCCATGATTATGCCACTGCACTCCAGCCTGGGCAACAAAACAAGACCCTGTCTCTGAAAAAAAAAATTGGTTTTGAGCCATTTGGAGGCAGAAATTTTCCTTGCAGTCCAGATGTCAGACCCTTGCCTGAGACCACCAAGGAGATGGGGGCTTTCACGCTGCCCCAGTCTCACTCCTAGAGGCTCACTCCCAATCTCCCCCATGACACACTGTTACTACAGAGGAGTGTGACATACTTACTTTAGGTACTGCTGATACTCATGCGTACTCTTTCCACAAACAGCATGAATGTTGACCAATTCTAGCACAATGAGTAACAGAACCAGGCTGAGCACAGGGGACAGAAGTCTAATACTAAAAACAGATAAAAGTAAATTAAAATTTGAGGAACACTGGTGTTCTCCACCTTCGTCAGGAAAAAGATGTTTCACTTAATCAACACCTCTTCAACTTCTCAAAAAGTAATTTTGCTAATCCTTAGAGCCCGATGCCTGCTTCCAGACCCTAGGTTCGTGGCCGGAGGGAGCGCCCAGTGCAGCCCTTGCTCCCGGCCGCCCTGCATGTCCACATTCCTTGCTGAGTCATCATCTGAGGGGCTGCTGGGGGCTCTGCACACTCACGGGGCACCAGGCAGGCCCAGTCTCTGCCCAGCCACCCCCATGCTCCCTGCCCTCTGACATTGGGAAAGGAACTCTCACCAGAGAAAAAGAAATGGCCTCAATATGAAAGCTGGCTGAATGCCACCAGATTAAAGAAACTCCAATTAAAGTAAGCTCTTATTTTTCCCATGAAACTAGCTGATACATTTAAAAATATTCTGGTTTTGGAGAGTGGTAACAAGAGAATGACCTTGTCTTATAAACTGCTAGTAAGAGTGTAAATTGAGAAGCACTTTTCTAGAGGGGAATCCAGCAATATCTCTCTAAAGCTTTAAAAACCACAGATACACTCAACCCAAAATTTCTAGAAATGCGTCCAAAATGGTCTTTTCTGAAGGATGTAGCACATTCTAAAATATACACTATAAGTGAAGAAACCCTAATGCTGGTTCTAAGAAGTTAATCTGCTGTTATATTTTAAACTCAACTATTCATATGGGTAGGTAGAACCCACATTTCCACATGCCCAAATTACAAACCATATTTAAAATAGTATGTACATCACTTTCTGTGAAAATCAGCACAGCAAATCCTCAAATAACATTTCACTCAACTTTGGTTTATCACATCAGTGAGAAAAGAAACTGGTGTCCGGCAAAGGCCGCTGTCTGTGTGGAGAAGCACATTCTGCATGGCTGGGTTTTCTCTCGACCCTGTTTTCCTCCCACATCCCAGAGCTGTGCACATGAGATGAACTGGCATGCCTATGTGGTCCCAAAGTGAGTGTGGGTGTGTGAGTCGCCCTGTGATGGAACCGCATCCTGTCCACGGTGCAACCACACCCTTGCACCCTGAGCTGCTGGGATAGGCTCCAGCCACACCTGCAACCCTGACCCTGAACTAGAATAAGCAGGTGGGAAAATGGATGAATGAATGAATACAAATTATAAGAACTTGTAAAGTCTACAGTTAGTGCTTGACAGTAAGTGACAGGGGACAAAAGTGCTTAGTGACCCACACATTTGTTCTTGTTGGTGCTGGAGCTGTCAGAAGGAAGGCGCGCAGGCCTGGGGACGTCTCACTCTGCAAACATTTGTTCCCTGATTCAACTACCACCTGGAATGCCATCACTCACTGCTTCACCAAAAACTGAGAAGTTATTTCACTTTTTTTATTCATCTTTCTTAAACGTCCAAAGAGCTCATATGTATCTCAGTGTTTCATATTATAAGTGTCTTGGGTCCTGATTTAGAAGCTTGGTTAATACTTTTGTGACCAGAAACAGGCTGTGGGAACTTTTGTTTCTATTGTGACAGGAAAATAAATTTCAGGACTCCAAACTCACTAAGCCAAGTCAAGCTAATTAAAAGCTTAACTAAAGAAAAGTTAAGCTGGGAATTGCCTCAGGAAATCTGCCTCTCGTTTTATTCCTAAATAAGATGGCTACAGAGATAAAAAAGCTACAGACCTCCCTCACAGTTTGTCCACAAGGAAATTCCTCCTGGGCCTCAAGACCTTTAAGAGTTCTGCTGCATTTCACTCCGGTAATGTAATTGCTAGCTTATCTTCACAGGTGTGGGGCAGAAAGTCATCGCTCTACTCACCTGAGACAAATGCATATATGATTGCTTCTTCTGCCCTATGTTTATGTAAAATGCAGCTTCACTGAGCCACACTATGGTGTAAGTGACTATTCCTCCCCCCACCTCACCAGTAAATTGTATTCACTGAAAGGCAATCAAAGACTCAAAATAATGCAATTCTTTGTCTCTTAGATGCAAAATAATACAATCCTTTGTCTCTTGTCCACCAATCTTTGAGTTTTCCTGCCTTTCCAGATGAAACCAATATACACTTTACACCTACTGATTGATGTCTTATGTCTCCCTAAAATGTGTAAAAGCAAGCTGTGTCCCAAATTCCCTGAGGCATATGCTGTCAGCAACTCCTGAGGCTGTCACAGCCTGTCCTTAACTATGGGAAAGTCAACTTTCTAAGTGGATTGAGACCTGTCTCAGATACTTTGGGTTTACACTATCAGTTGTGAACTCCAAGCATATCAACACCTGTTGATGGGGTTCAGTGAGGGCCTACTGTGTGTGTCTGAAAGTGGGGACTGAACTGCATCTGTGACAACTTCCTGCCCCACCCAAAGAGGAAAGTGAGCACGCACCTACTCAGCATGCGCAGGTAGTTCAGCCGCTGGCGAGACCGCAGAGTCCTTTCCACCCACTGCATGTGTCTCAGCTCTGAGGCGGCAGTGACCTGGTTGGACACGTGGTGGCACTGTTTGCTGATGCTTCGGAGCACAACCAGCACTTCCAGCACAATCCTGGGGCAGAACAGGGTGGGCACGGGTGTGCTGCAGAGCTCACAGAGCAGCTGTGAGCTGGGCCACCTGCAAACAGAGCGAGACTTGCAACAGGCATCGTGATCCTCAGCTGCACCTCACTCTCCTTCTGCACCTGCACTTGCAAGGCTGCGGCCTTCTGGGAGCCAGGGCTAGCCGCGTATTGCTCATTGGTCTGCAGGGGCAACCGTGACAAGTGTCAGGTGCTGACTAAATATACTGAATTGTGGTGAACAGAATGTGGCATTCACAGCTTCATCAGATGTGCCAAGCTTGCACCGAGACTGTCAAAGCTTACCTCATCATTCCTCTTGGTGCAGTAACAGTGGGATTCTAAGACTACCAAGTTTTTAAAATCTAAAACATCGAGAATGGCTAAGTTTGCTACGCTAATCAGCTGAATCAATGTTTCAACAGTTGTCAGGATGTCCTGGAACTCACGTCTCAGTAGGAAGACTATCCAAGTCCTTTAAAACACAATGATTCTCAGGCATATGGTGATACAGTTCATCCATAATTTTTGTAATTAAAGAGTGGCAGGCATTTGTTTCAGAATTATCTTCTAATCTGAAAAAGAAAATATTTAAAGATATGTGACAATAATTAAAATGCCCGTATTAGTGCCTATGCATAATAATGTTTAATGGTTCACTGAGCAGCAACCTTAATGTGAATCTTAGTTTCCCCGAATATAAAATGGAAAAGGCCACCAGGACAAGACAGTGGAGAAACGAACGACGCCAATGCCAAAAGCGAAACACGCTGATGCCGGAAGACGACGCATCAGCCGAGTATTACTCCTGCTGAGCAAGCACGTCCACTGCATGTACGACTCCAAAATGCACGTCTCCATCCCCACTTCTCTCTCGAGCTTCAGACCCGTCTAGTTTACCGTCTACTCAATATTCCTCGTGGGCACCATTGTCCACCCACAGAACCTGCCTCTCGTTCCATGTTAATTCTCCACCAGGGCCCCATGCCAGCTGGGAAATCACTTCCAGCATTACTTCCAGCTCCTCACAGGCTGCACCAGCCACGAAGGCCCAGAAATTTCTCCTTCCCCCTTTATCTTCCAGCAGGCTCATTAAAGGAGAAATGCTGCTGAAATTAACAGTACCAGACAAGCTCGAGGTCAGCCAGGCCCCAGGACAACACGCACCTGACAGCTTCCTGAGTGAGTTCTTCAGGGAAAGGCAGCAGAGCCCAAACCCTGATGCTTTCCTCACAGCTCAGCACCTGTGAGGAAACGTTATATTGCTTTTGTAGATTTCACAATAACTTCCTAGAAAATCTATGTTTTTAGATTGTTAGGGATGTTACATCCCTCTCTAGAAAATACCTATCTATAAAATTGTGACAAATTCTAAACATTGTAAAAACTAGATGGTGGGTGTCAGTTCTTCAATACGTTCAGATGGCGGGGAGGCTGGGGAGACTACCAGGGGAGTGGTAGGGAGTAAATGTCTGGGGTGGCTGTGACCACGTCCACAGGTTCTTTTGACACCTCACATTGAGAGGAGGTCCCCACTAAATCTGCACCAGCTCCAGCAACTGGCCTGTAACCAACAGAACACAGCACATGTGAAGGTGCTGCATGGCATCCAAAGCCTTGTCAGAGGTGCAGGTGCCTCTCCAGTTGAGACCACGCTTAGGGTGCAGCAGCTGTCACCTTGGGAATGTCCCTGCAGGTACCCCATGAGGCCTCTGGCCAACTTCCAGCCTTCTCAGATGGGACCCCCACAGAGCCCTGAGGGAACCACAGCTGTCAACACCCAGGCAAGGCCACAAGACAGATCCCTTGGCAGATGCTCCCCATTTCTAACCCACTAGAGTATGAGCAAATCAAATGGTGGCTGTTGACACCACTGAGCATGGGTGGTCTCAACAGCAGGAGTAACCAAAGCTCAGGATGCAAAGCTGCCTGAATACCAGTGAAATGCCAGGAAGGGGACAGGGAATGGTAAGGACCCAAAACAGCCACAGTGGGGCAGGGGAGAGGATGGCCTGGCGCCTCGGCAGCTCTGGTTGAAAGACAAAGACTGCCTTCCCGAAGCTCCTCTTCCTTCCATCTTCCCTTCTCCCCACCTGTCTACCTCTACCTTCGTAAGGGCTTGTTCTTGGAAAGCATGGTATCCCCCTGGTAAAGGTGGTCCGCAGCGTGAACGGGGAATGGCATCCGACCAGCACAGCCCCACGCTCTGCCTCCAGGCCCACACCTCCAGGAGGCTTCTTTCCCGACTTCACTGCCGACAACCCACTTCTGACAGGACTTTCCTTAAGGCATTCTCAAGGAGGCCTCAGACTTCTCAAGGCGCCGTTTCTTTAAAGTGCCTTTGCAAATCTCTCCTGGCCCCGTGTGTTGATTTTATAGCTTCCTTTCAGAAATAATCTCATTTACAAATGATCACCTGCGCAACTGTCATGATGCGTATATTCTGGGGAATACCTCTTTTTTCATTCCCTTGCACTGCCCTCGTGTCCTCCTGTATATAGAATAAAGCACCTCAGCTGACTTCCAAATTGGAACCTCCTGGCAGAAATGCTTAAAAAATTGTTGTTTCAGTAAGTTGACAAAAGCAAGTCTTGTGTAGCAGAAAAACTGACGTTACTCGCCACTGACAAATAAAAAGTGCTCCTAGCTCTGTGTCACTGGTGACAGCAGTGACAGCCTGCCAGGAGACTCAGCGAAAACACTTCCCAGTGCTCATCTGTGTAACACTGAAAACACTCAGTGCAGTCAGCACTGCACACTTGCGACTTCTAGACATGGAACTTGAGCCTCTGAGGACTGAGCAGCCAGGCCAGGCCACAGCAGGCACCACGCTGGTCAGAAAGCTGATCTGCCCAACTCAAAGTCTGAGTCAGCAGGCAAACTGCACCCTCCGAGCAGCTCTGCAGAAACAGGTGGTTTCAGAAACATGCACACCCCCCCTCCCAGCACCCTGCATTCAGCATACCTGTTTTTTAAGCTGAGAAACAGGATGGCAACGAGAACTATAGCCTTCTGCAAGATTAATCAACAATTCTACTGCTGCTTTTTCCTAGTTTAGAGAAAATGGTGGTTACTATAATATTTGGTTAGGTTTTTAGCTTTCTTCTACTGAACTGCAGGCCACTTAGAATCCCAATTTCTCATTATCTTTCTTCAAATAATTCTATGCAGCTAGAAAAGCAAACGCTTCATTAAAATAGGTTTGACATGGCAGAGAAATCACAGCCAACAAAATGATTTTAAATGATAGCCATTAACAATAGTAGATCACAAATGCCACACCCACCCTCTGTGCACAAGACTAGAAATGAGTAAGAAAAAAAAAAAGACCCCAAAGAATTGGAAATTTAACTAGGAAATAGTCATCTGAACACTAAAAATCTATACAACTAAAAAGATCACATAAATATAAACATTTAATTGCTAAGCATATACATATTTTTGAAATCATAAAATTACATTATTTGCAGCTGATGTAACCACATAACTTAAAAATCCGTCAGCCAACTAAAACCCATGAGAAACAAAATCAGTGAATCGACAGTTGACAAAGTAAAAAATCTGGAACTACCTACAATTCTTAATAGCACAAAGCAAACACCTGAAGTAGCTAGACGTTAACTGCGGAAGAAATGTGCTAGCCTTCCATTCACTCAATGTCTGAGAACCTGGAGTGCACCAGGCAGAGTGCTGGGCAGTATGAGGGAGGCACATGTGTGTGTCTGCATGGGTGACGTCCCCACAGGGCAGACACACACGCAGTGTACATATGCCACTGAAGAGCACCTGGCTTCTGTTCCAAGATGTGAACCCACCCGAGGGCTTCCGAGGAGAGGGATGTAAAAGGATCATGCTGGCTGCGTGATGCTGCTGCCTGTTATGACAGGGTGAAGGGCTCGCAGAAGTTGGTGGGCAGACCAGTCAGTGCCAATGACATTCCAGGGATGAGCCAGGATGGCATGGCCAGCTGGTGGCACAGGAGGGACAGGGAGTAGCATATGTGGATCATATTTTTTTTTCTCTTTTTTTTTGAGACTGAGTCTTGCTCTGTCATTCAGGCTATAGTGCAGTGGCACAATCTCGGCTCACTGCAACACCTACCTCCTGGGTTCAAGCGACTCTCCTGCTTCAGCCTCCCGAGTAGCTGGGACTATGGGCGCCCGCCACCACGTCTGGCTAATTTTTGTATTTTTATTAGAGACAGGGTTTCACCATGCTGGCCAGGCTGGTCTTGAACTCACCTGCCTCGGCCTCCCAAAGTGTTGGGACCACAGGTCTGAGTCACCCCACCTGGACTGTGGAACATATTTCTAAGACTTGTTCCGAGGTCCGAGTACGAAGAGAGAAGAGGACTCTGAGGCTTCCAGCCTGAGCAGCCACCTGGGAGGCGGGAGAGGCCACGTAGACAGGAGGCTCAGGACTTGAGGAATGAAGATGGGGAGACACTATGTCCCTGAATAAGCTTCAACATTTTGAAAAATGTCAGTTGTCCCTAACTCAGTCCATGAGGTGCTCACTCTTGTTTGTGTTTGTACAGGTTTACACAGAATAAATGGTGCTGAGACAACTTGCTGGCAATTAATTTTTTTTAAAGCAAAGCTCGATTCTGTACCTTACTCTCAAGATGAAATAAATTCCAGTTGGATCAAAAGATGTAAAAGGAAAATAAAGAAACAACAGAAGTACTAGAGACAATGTGTACATATATTTTCAATTTTGAAAAGCGAAGATTCTTTTCAGAATGACTCCAAATGTAGAAGCCAAAGAGAAAAAACATCAAAACCCATGGACAAACAACAAAGCAAGGCGTACAGAAATAAGGCTCGGGAGCCAGCGGGAGATATAAAGCCGAAGAAAATGGAGAAAACACACCAGCAGCAGTTCATGACTGAATTATAAACGTCTAGTAAACACAAAGAAACAGAAATGAAAATAAAAACAAAGTCTTGTCTGGATATGGTGGCTTGTGTCTACGGTCCCAGCTGCTCAGGTGGCAGAGGTAAGAGGATGGCTTGAGCCCACGAGGTTGAGGCTGTCATGAGCCATGACTGTACCACGGCACTCAAGCCTAGGTGTCAGAGTAAGACCCTGTCTCATTGAAAAAAAAAAAAAGTATTGATATCTTCTGTCTTCGAACTTTACTTTTTAAGAGTATTTACATAAGTGCCCAAATGAACAAAGATGCTCATTTCAGCAGCATAATTAGGAATTTTCCACAACAGGGAATATCACAACTTATCCATCAGCGAAGGATTGCATAGGTAAATAACAACATAATGATAAAACGAAATATCAAACAGACAAAAAGAGTAAGGCAGAACAAAGATGCCAAAAACACACTGTTAATGAGAAATGGTAGCTATAAAACATAATGTATCTTCCTATGAACTCACAGAAAAAATGTGGGAGCAACCACCAGCTAATTATTAACAGTAGTTATTTCTGGGAGATGGAATTCCTGAGGGCTGTTACTTTTCACATTAATTTTTCTGTTTCTATTAATTTTTATTTGAACTTTTAAACAATTTTTAAAATAACTATCATATGTATTATCTGAAAAGATTAAAATATCCATAACAAATGTTCTAACTTATTTATTTTGAAATAGATTAATTTATTAATGATGCAAAAATATCCTGCCCCATCGATTTAGCAAAAATCTGTAAAAATTTCCTAATATTTGGTTAATCCTGTTTTATAATTTGTTCTGTTTTCAATACTTAGCTACTGTTACATACAAAAGCGAATGTGTTTTTAAGAAATGAGTTAATTTTTGCTGAGATTAATACTGATTGATATGTGGCAGAGAATATAAACATACATGTAATCCAATCACTTTTTTTTCTGATGGAGGATACTGTAACTCAGATATATTAAAAGATGATTAATAGTTAATTACATTTCAAAAATAAAGTGTATTTTTTCATAGCTGAATGACAGATAATCTAATTAATGGTTTTCTTCCCAATTACCTTAAAAACTGATAGCAGACCTTCATCAACAAATCTGAGTAACAGTACAACAGAAAATGCAAGCAACTGATTAGTTGTTTCTTTTGAAAATTCTTGTAAATTGATCTCTCCGTGGCTTAAATGATCTCTTAAGCGGGGACCCTCCTGATGGTTCAGGAAATCCCAGAGAAATTCCTTTCAGAAAATAAACAGAGAAAATGTTGTATTAGTATCTGCAGCAGAGAGCTGTGCCTGGTACTGCTGAACAGAAGGGAAGAGCACATCCATCAAGCCCTCTGAAGCCCTGGGTGGGACCTTGCTGGGGAGAGCTGTTCTGCACCCACAGGACAGACCAGGGAGTCGGAGAGGCGGTGGGGAAGGCAGAGTTGCCTGGCTGGTGCTGGAGTCTTATCAAACTGCAGTCTTGCTTGTTTTCACCCTCCTCCAAGGAAGGGAACTGAGTGCGAACATCTGCAGATGAGCTTTCCCAAGGCAATAAAAGAAAGCATGGCTCTCCCTTGTGTGAGCACAGCCCCTGCACTTTCTTATCTGCTCTTTTGCCTTCGAAGCCTGTTGCTTCTTATGACACAAGCCCAAGGCATCTCCCACAGGTTATAGGGAAAAGAGGTCAGAAAATTGCTGCCCTAGGCAAATTGCCAATGGTCAGAAGAGTCACACAGACTCAAGGTGGAAAGAACATTAAACTAGTTCAATCGTCTTATCTTTTGATGGTAAAAATGGATGCCCACAGAGCACAGAGTCTAAAGTCACAGAACAGGAGCATGGTTCTAGGTCACCTGACTCTCAGTCTGAAGGAATAAATGTCAAATACCTACTGTAGTTCAAATGAGTCACTGAAATATCCTCATAAAATATAAAAAAGTTGATAGATGGCTTTAAACAATTAGTGATTCTCTTTTCATCCAATACTCAATCTTATTATTCCCTATTGGTTTTTGTTTTTTGTTTTGAGGTGGAGTCTGGCTCTATTACCCCAGGCTGGAGTGCAGTGGTGCGATCTGGGCTCACTGCAACTTCTGCCTCCTGGGTTCAAGCAATTCTCCTGCCTCAGCCTCCTATGTAGCTGGTACTACAGGCACAGGCCACCATGCCCAGCTAATTTTTTTGTATTTTTAGTAGAGATGTGGTTTCACTATATTGGCCAGGCTCTAGTCTCAAACTCCTGACCTCAGGTGATCTGCCCACCTTGGCCTCCCAAATTGCTGGGATTACAGGCCTGAGTCACTGCGCCCAGCCTGTTGCATCTAACAAGGCACAGATACATGTCCGTTCTACAGCATAAATACATGTAAAAAACAAATTCAAATTTTGCTTAGGGACAGGGCAGCTGAATCATCAGGACTTTATAAAAGACATTTAAATAATGGCATAAAGCAGAGTACCCCAACTGGAGTGACAGCTTGGGAAACATGAGCTGATTGGTGGTTGAAGCTGAGACAGCACAGGAATGGTTCAGAAGTATTTTTCTTGAGCAAACCACAAGCCAAAATTAATTTCATTTTAGAGAAGTGCTGATGACATCCATAAATAAAAGAATATTACCCTAGAAAATACCTAATACTTACCATAGCAGGCTCTCCAAGGAAAAGAGGAAGCTGATTGATTCTACCATCATTCAAGTGTTTTGCCAATATCTAAAACATCAAAAATAAATACATTGATTAATTGGTCCCCATACATAAACATAGAGAACTTTCAGAGTTGATGAACAGCACTTTTAGCTTAACTTGTTATCTAAGGTCCAAGCAAGTTAAATGGCATGAGGATAGCCTTTAAAATACAGCAAACAAGTGTTCAGGAAATATTTTCTTAACCAATAGAATGTCTTTGAGAATATATTATTAATTGAATACACACGCGTGTTTGTATATGTGACTGTGTATGTGTGTGGTGTGTGTATATATGCATGTGCACAGGTGGATTTATGTGTGTGTGTGTTTATATGCAACTGTGCCTGTGTGTATGTGTGTAGTATATGTGTCTGCATATGTGGTGTGGGGTGTGTATGCCTGTTTGTATATGTGACTGTGTATGTGTGTGGTGTGTGTATATATGTATGTGCACAGGTGGATTTATACGTGTGTGTGTGTTTATATGCAACTGTGCCTGTGTGTGTGTGTATGTGTGTAGTATATGTGTCTGCATATGTGGTGTGGGGTGTGTATGCCTGTTTGTATATGTGGCACGGAGGTATGTGTTCGTGTGTGTGTCTGTGTGTGCATACACGTGTCTTGTTTTCATATACATCAGTCACTTCCTAAGTCACTTCTCAACTCACCATGGACTTTGCCCAACCTCCCCAACCAATCCCACAGACCTGACTCTCTGCAGACTGGAGTACACTACCCAGTCAAATCCTCATGTTACCAAAGGTCTTATTAAAATATCAGCAGATTATTCACCTAATGGAAGAAGCTCTGCAAGTAAGCAGGCACATTTTTAACTAACCCACCACAGACTCACATAGGAATCTAATAGTTGTCTTAAAGGCAAAACTGAATATCCAGACCCCTACAGGTGGCCCTTCCCTTGGATTCCTATAGGCTGTCACACTTTAGGTGCACATGAATGCTACCCAGGATTACACACACAAAAGCCTCTATACTTTATGGGTGATAAAAGGCCTTTTCAACTGTGATTCTTACTCTTCACACCCCCAACATGCAGATTAAATGAATCAGTATATACTATACACTCAGTAGTTAGGGAATATTTCTCATACAAAAAAGATGTTACCCCTAAATCTCAAATGCAAGCCCCTAAATAATTATAGCTGATCATGTTCGATGATGTAGTATTTTCCAACTTTTTGAACTCTGTATAGCTTTAGGAGCTAGATTAGTAATATGGGGCCTCAAAATAACCTGAAATATCAATTATAAGCTTTTATTTGGTTTATATTACTATGGACATTTTTCTGTAAGCATACGATTTATGGCTGATCTTTAATTTTGTTTTATTTTGTATTTTAAAAGAAGACAATGTTCTGCTTGTTTCACGTTACCTTGAAACAAGTTTAATTACTTACTTCATCAAAGGTGGTATAAAGAGCTGTTGACTTAAGAAAAGGAAAGAAATGAAAATAAACAATTAAAGCAAAATACAAGTACGGTAACACTTATTCAAAATAAGAAAAAATTCTAGTACATGGCCAAATATCCCAAAGTTTCTTGTTAAACATTCATCTAGAAACACTATGAGAGGAATATCACTGACAAAATAAACACATTACAAAAGCTGCAGAAACACAGCACAGCTGGCCATGAAGCCACATTAGGACACTGCCCTCAATGGAGCTTTAGCCTAGTCCTTTCTAAAATGTTCAATCCCAGACCCTCACAAATCGCTGCTCATACGACACAGGATTTCTCCTGACGACTGGTATTTGTGCACGAGTGAGCATAGCTTCCTGTTTTTGCCAACGAATAGCCTTGTCTGTTTTTATTTATTTCATTCATGCTGCTTCTCGGCAATACCAGCACAGCCTGCAGACACAGGCTGCCCTGAGTTCTGATCCCAACTTCAACGTTTTCTAGACAGGAAGCCCTGGCAACTGATCTGACTCCGCAGACTCAAGTTTTCCCTGCGAAACAGGAAGTGAATAATGCCCATCTCAAACGATTTCTGGGGGACTTGGTAAGATTTTACAGACAGCATGATGAAATCAGGGTTTTGTGTAAGCTAGCTCTCTAGAAATGTTGTTTTGTTTATTAATGTTTAATAACCTACTTTAAGTTTTATATTTTTCACTACACAGATGACTCTAAAATCTGTGTCTTTAGCTCTCAGATCTATATTGCCAGCCCTAAAATTCCTTCTGAGTTCTGTTCTAAACATCCAGTTGTCTACTACTCCACTTTCTCCAGAAAGCGGAATTTTCATTTACCTCCGTCAACTACATGCAGTGGCTTCTACTTCGTTTTACAAAACTAGTGTTAATGCCTTCTCACTCTCCCATGATCAGTAAGCTTCTGAAGTCAGAAAATCTCACTCATATTCATATCTTCCACTGGTCCTGAAGACACCTCATGCCACAAAAGTATTCAGTAAATAATAAAAATCTTTGATAAGTTTTATGAAATATCTTCATATAGGTACTGCTATGGGAAGAGATGGCCAGGGGCAGACTTGTGTTACTTCCAGTTAAATGATTACAAGCTTGCTTTGCTTTTTATACACTGAGATGTCTGCCATGGATCATATCCAAACTATGGTGTTGTAGAATAAAAGCAGAGATCAAGCAGTAACAGGAGGCCCGTGGTAAAGCCCATCTGAGAGGGAACACTGCGGTGTGGTTGCAGAAAAGAAAACATGCTTAGGTCCCAGGACTCTTCCCACCATGGAGTTTGTGTGAGGATCTCGTAAAGGGAGCTTATGCAAAAGACTCTGGGAAGGAAATGCAACCTCTGCTCGTAAGACTCGGAAGGGTCTTCATAGATGGGAGCTGGTAAGGGCGGAAGGCCTTACAGGGCAGAGACACTGGAACGCCACAGGCTCTGCCTATGTTCTCAGAATATGGAGCAATTCTGATTCCTCTGTGTCCACAACACTCGGGAGATAAAAGCCCCTTGATGCACTGTGTGTGGTCAGACCTTACGGCACCCTGTCCACTGTACCTCTCTTGCCAAAACACCTGGATAGACAATGGGTGGTGAAATCTCAGTGTCCTTAGCATTTCTTAGGAGAATCATGTTTGCTATTGAATGCTGCAGACAGATGCTCTTCCTTGGGCTATCTTCCTTCTCAACCCACCCCCCCTCACAGCCTGCAATACACCTAATAAAAGTACTTGGAGCCCAGAGCTCAATGCCAATTCAGATCACCCCGAGAGAGTGCGTTGGACCCCTGGACCCATGCTGTCAAATTCTATTCTTGTGTCTTTGTCTGTATTTATTTTCTCACTCCCTCATCACTGCCGGGACATGGGCACCGACGTTGAGGGTTGGGCTGGTTCCCAACATACTGCCTTACAAACTGATCCTGTTTATTCTGGATAAAGCCTGGGCTAAAACTTAACATATTCTTTGATAGATCATATCTTCTGTGGAAACAGTCATTTTATTTATTTATGAAGTCAAATGATAAGTAAATATCCAAATACACAAGTTTATTTGTACCACATGGCCCTACAGTGATGGAGTGTGCCACCATGCAGCCCATCCCCATACAGGCCTCATGAAGCAAGGACCCAACTCTTTCCTAAGCTTCTCTCCACACCATGCCGCCTACACGGAAGGCACTGGGCATGGGCACCAGGTGACAGCAATGTGAAGGCCTGCCTTGGAGAACCTGCAGAGACCTCTGCAGAAACACACGGGAGTAAGGCAAAGCAGGATGGTCTCCAAGATGAAACAGAAACACAGAGAAAAGCAGCCTCCACCTTTGAGTAGATGAGCCTCTGGGAGGTCACTCTTATGGCCATAGCCCCTGACCTGGACTGGTAAGTCTGGGGGTAAGGGACAAAGTAAGAGGAAAGACAGGCAAGTTCTGGAGTGGACAAGAAGCCTAAATTACATTGGAGAACACAAACAGGGAACACAAGCAAAGACGAGGGCAGGGTTAGAACCTGACGCCGTGCCGCCACGTGAAGAGCGTGAACTCCATCTGACAGGTAGCAGGACGTCATAAAAGAGCTTAGACAAAGGAAAAACCATAAACAACGTAAGAATACCAGTTTAGAAAATAATCAGTGGAGCCACACATGGTGGCTCACACCTGTAATCCCAAAACTTTGGAAGGCCAAGGCAGGAGGATGGCTTATGCCCAGGAGTTCAATACCAGCCTGGTCAACATGGCAAGACTCCATCTCTACAAAAAAAAACAAAAAACTTAAAAATTATCTGGGTGTAGTAGCGCATGCCTGTGGTCCCGCTACTTGGGGGGCTAAGGTGGGAGGATCGCTTGAGCCCGGAGGTTGAGACTGCATTAAGCTATGATCGCACCCATTCTAGCCTGGGCAACAGAGCGAGACCCTGTCTCAAAAAAAAACTTAAAAAAAGAAAATAGGAATCAGCAGGACATAAGAATGATATTGAGAAGGTGGAAGAATCACGAGATAAGCTCGGGTGGGCCGAGGAGTCAGGCGGGGCTTCTCAGCTTGGACAGAAAGAGACGAGGTCGGCTGGGTGGAACTCAGAGCCATGCCGGCCACTGAGTGGACGTGGGAAACATGAGGTGCTGCTGGAGTCTGCAGCTGGGGGGGCTGAGATGACAGAGGAAGGGTCAGAGGTCAAATCTGTGGGAAACAATGCCTTTCTGAAATAACACAAATGTGAGGGCCTGAGGAAAAATCACATGAAGATACTCAGCGAACATGAGCAGACCTAACTGCGCAGATGAGACGAAGGTGAGTGAGAAGCAACGCTGAGGAGCCTGGCTCCTGGGCCATAAGCTGCTCTCACAGCACTGCTTTCACTGGGTCCACAACTTCTCATGTGTTGGGTTTCATTTTCATTGGGTTCAAAGTATTTTCTAATTGCTATTCCCTCAGGGATGAAAATATAAGGCACAGAACTGTATGAAATCTCCCAGGGAGAGAAAACAAGAGGATGGGGTTGAGAGCAGAGCATTGAGGAATGCTTACAAAGAGGGGCAAAAGCAAAAGCCAACCTAGAGAAGGAGATGAAAATCCGAGTTGTAGAGAGGCTGCACCTCCCCACCCTTCACAACAGAGTGTCCGGTGGGGAGCTGGGCACTCACCCACCCAGGAACACTTCCATGCCTCCCTGGCAGCATGTGTGCTGGCCAAGAAGATGGCCTGTGCTACCTCTAGGAAGTGTCCTTAGAGAGCGGCATGCTCCAATCTTTGCTTTTCCTGCTAGCTGGAAAGCAGATGTGATGGCTGACACAGCCAGCTGGAGCCATGAGGAAGAAGTCTCCATGAGAAAGGCCTGGCCCTCATGAGTGGAAGATGACACAGAGGGGTCTGAGTGCTGATGACAGGGGTGCTGCCATCTCGGCGAGGGCTACTCACATTTAGGAAAAGCAGAAACGCACTTCTATCCTATTTCAGTCACTGCAGCCATACTATTTCCAAATCTCTATCACGAGCAGCCAGATCTGACCGTAACTACCAAAAAGGAGCAGAAATGAGAAATTCTAGGAGCCAGAGGAGGTAGGCTGGAAGCTCAGAGACACTTGCCTGAGACAGGGCAACCAGGGCTGATGTGGGACCTGTGAGACAACTGTGTGCACGCATGGAGGGGCCCGAGAAATGTAGACAAAGGCTTCCATGACCCGCAGCAGGGCTGGCGCTAACCAAATCATCTCTAAACCCACATCTCCCACTTGTAACATGGAGAAACTCATGCTCAGAAGGTTTTGATTACTTTCCCAAGGTCAGAATCAATCACGGTCGGCCTCGGCCTCCTGGCTGGACCGACCATCTCCTGCGCTCACAGTGACACACCATTCACAGGGACGGAGAGGGAGTCAGCACCCACTACTTTCATGACATCAATATGTTTAAAAGACTGCTTTGAAATATTACAGAAATATGTTTTAAAAACATAAATAACATAAATACAAATCCTATAAAAATGATAGTAAAGCCTTCCCTAGTTCTTGGCTTAAAAATTCATTTTAATGTTAAATAGAATAAAAATTTTAAAAACTTTTAATTGGTCACAGAAAACTGTTAACACAGCAGCAACAATCACAATCAATAATAAAAACAAGTTTACCTCAGCAGTCAGGAGTCTTGCTGGACATCTGTTAAGTGTGGCAAAAACATTCCTAAGTCCAGTCTCTAGTTGTGCCAGCAACAATATGGCACAGTCAGCAAACCTATGAAATTGAAGGGAAAACGGGTAAAACTCCATGTTTCAAAAATAAATATTAGGCTATTAGTACAGTGGCTCATGCCTGTAATCTCAGCATTTTAGGGAATTCAAGGCAGGAGGATTGCTTGAGGCCAGGAGTTCAACACCAGCCAGGGACACCCCGTCTCTACAAAAAATTTAGAAATGAGCAAGGTGTGGTGGCACATGCCTGTAGTCCTAGCTACCTAGGAGGCTGAGGCAGCAGGAATGCTTAAACCCAGGAGTTAAAGGCTGGGGTGAGCTATGACTGTGGTACTACACTCCAGCTTGAGTGACAGAGTAAAACTGTCTCTAAGTAAAAAAGCAAAAAACAAAAATAATATTGACACCAACATCACAGTAACTGCTGCAGGCTAGATACCAAAGGCAAAGAGAAGTGATAATACTTGCTAATAGAAGTAACAAAAAGAAGCAGCTGGGCACAGTGGCTCATGCCTGTAGTCCTAGAACTTGGGGAGGCTGAGGCAGGTAGACCACATGAGGCTAAGAGTTTGAGAACAGCCTGGACAATATGACGAAACCCCATCTCTACTAAAAATATAAAAATCAGCCGGGCGTGGTGGTGCATGCTTGTAGTTCCAGCTACTTGGGAGGCTGAGGCACAAGAATCGCTTAAACCTAGGAGGCGGAGGATGCAATGAACTGAGGTCACACCATTGTACTCCAGCCTGGGTGACAGAGTGAGACTTTGTGTCAAAAACAAAAAAAAAAAACACCTCACACACACAGAAAACCAGTTTCATCTACTAATGATTTTAAAAACATTTCCAGTGTTTTCATGTTTGATAAACCATTTTTAGTAGCTTCTATAGAATAAAACATTGTCAAAGAACTTTCTAACTCATTTCATTGCTTCTAAAAAATACTGAGGCTGGGTGCAGAGGCTCTCTCCTGTAATCCCAGCACTTTGGGAGGCTGAGGCAGGAGGATCACTTGAGTCCAGGAGTTCAAGATTAGCCTGGGCAATGGAATAAGACCTCACCTCTAGAAAAAGTACAAAATTAGCCAGGCATGGTAATACACACTTACAGTCCTAGCTACTCAGGAGGCTGAGGTGGAAGGACAGCATGAGCCCGGGAGCTCAAGCTTACAGTGAGCCGAGATGGTTCCATTGCACTTCAGCCTGGGGGACAGAGGGAGATCTAGTCTTAAAAAGAAATAACAAAAATGCAAATACCAGGATTTCAGTGGATTCTCAAAGTATAAAAATGAATGCATAGGGTAATATCTTTTAAAGATCTAAAGAGAAGCTCACTAGACCTTCTGGTGGCTTCCATACATGTGTTTGCTCCTGAGGACCGAAAAAGAATGTAAGGAAAAAGCTGGCTTGTCTTTGTTTCATGATTCTGGACACGTTTCACTCATTCCAAGAATTCCAGAAAATAATAAAAAGTGGATCCCGAAAAATAATTCTATCAACTGCCAAAAGGCTGACACACAATGTTTAAGATATAATCACAGGCTGTCCTTTAAGTGACCCTATGAATGTGTTTTATTTTCAGGTCTGCTCAAGTCAGCCCAGCTTCTCTTCACTTCTACTCCCACAGGAAAAAGCATCAAAAGTGAAGGGCGTCAAGAAAGACTGATCTCCAACCACTGAAAACCACTGTGCCACGTACCCTTCAGTTACCTTTGTGACCTGAACTTGATCAGTGCAACTTCCCAATATGGTAACATGATTTTTAATATAAAAGCAGATTTTGTCATCACTTCTTCTAATACTGAAAGCACCTCATAAGTAACATCTGCAAAATAACAAACAGTTTTAAACACAATCATACGAATCAAATGAAGAACGATGGGAACATCCTGAGGGAGTGATGCCAATGAGTCAATCACTTTAGGCGGTTGAACTGTAGCCACTGCTGCAGGGGACTCATCAAAGAGTAGGGTCACCCTGACCAAGAGCCCGAGGTGCAGACGACCCTCGGAAAGGAGGGCATGTGCATCTCTTCAGTGATTCAGGCAACAGCTCAGGGTGGACCAAGCAAGTACAATGACCAAGAGAAGTAAAATATATTTTCAGAAGCTATAAAAGACCCTTGATACTACAAGTACTTCTGATATAACGATCATGAGTACAAAGATACCAGAGGTGGAAGGAGGAGAGAATATACATCCTACCACAGCCTGAGGCCACTATTGTGCACAGCACTTCTGAGGAAGAAAGAGCTGACTCACACAGCCGCAACTCTGTGACCCCCACAACAACCCCGGGGCAGGGTGGGAGGAGACAGGGCTTTGGGTAGCAAAATGTAGGAGGTTCTTCAAGCAACTCTGAAAGCCATCTGACCACTGAAGAATAACTACTGCACCTCACCTCAAGAGTACACACCTCAATGCTGTTTACTGACTTTACAAATATCTATGCAAAACTACATTAAGGAAAAAATGTGAAATGTAGTACTTACCAGGAAAAATAACCAAATCCTCTAGGTTTTTAAGAGTTACGAAAGAGCGATGTGTCAATGTAAGTTTAGTGTTTTGAAGGTAACTCTTCAGTAACTGACCCAATCCTACTGTCAAGAGTATCATCATTGAACAGTATCTAGGGGAAATACCATAGATCTGTTATAAAAATATACCCAGTCATACCTATAAAAAGCTTCACTGTGAAAAACACAAATTTAAAATTAACAAAGAAAAGCACCATTACATTTCACGGAACTGGCCGAGCATGTGGCTCATGCCTGTAATCCCAGCACTTTGGGAGGCTGAGGCGGGCAGATCACTTGAGCTCAGGAGTCTGAGATCAGTCTGGGCAATAAGGTGAAACCCTATCTCCGCAAAAAATACAAAAAAGTTAGGTGGGAATAGCGGCATGTGCCTGTACTTCCAGCTACTCAGGGGGCTGAGGCGGGTGGATTGCTTAAGCCCGGGAGGAAGAGGTTGAAATGAGCTGAGAATACAGCACCACACTCCAGCCTGGGTGACAGAGCAAAATTCTATCTCAAAAAAAAATGCACACAATTCTATAGCTGTAGGAATTAAGTTGTGCAATGGTTGTGAGGCACAATAACACCAGAGAAACCCTGATGAAACCTCAGGGTCTTCCACCCACCTGAGACGTGAATGGCATAACATCCTTCTGCTGCCACCTCTGAATTGCCTTTGGGATGTAAGTCACTGAAACCATAACCCTGTCCTCATTCTAGTGACTACATCAGTAATATTCAATTTTATCTTCAAAATCCTATCTCAAAACTCACTCATCTTTCACATTTATATTTCCTTCTTGTGAAATTCAAAACTTAAAAGATTCTTTGGTAGATCCAAAAAAGGAAGAAAATGTCTTCACTTGCAACTTACTTTGGAGGAATCTCTTCAGGTGATGCAAACCCATGCCATAAGACGTTACGCAGGTTGAGGCCACACGGAGAGCCGATGAAGACTTTTAGCACATTCATCTAATCCAGTTAGGACAGTAAATCATTGCACAGTTAACTATTATTGCATAAAACAATATAATATGAAGATAATGTTGGTGTTCTTCTTTTTAACTGACAGAGCCAACAGTTTTGGCTAGTAAGTAGTAGTAATAATAATAAAACCAACATTTATTGACTGCTTAATATGTGCCAGACACATTTTATATGTGTTCATCAACTCATCCTAAGAACAACCTATGAAGAAGGTACTACCATTATCCCCAGCATGCAGGTGAAAAAAATACAAGCATGGAAAGGTGAAATCAAAGTCTCAAAGGTGACAAAATCAATATGGCGGATGAGATCTGACACAGGCTATCCTGCGTTAATAAAGTGCTTCAAATGTGCCTCATATCTAAATAAAATGCAAGAAGACAATGATATAAGCAGAAAGTTACTGTCGTATTAAGCAGCATGCAGCTGTGTGGTTCAACAGAGACAGTAGGACAAATGACAGAGCAGCATGGCTCCAGGCTTGAGCCTCCACCTCCCAGCTGTCTGACTTGAAGCCCATCACTGACCCACTCCACCATCTATCTACAGAGTGCAGAAAACACCAAACCAGGGGTCCTACTTAATGGATGGCAATCATGCCATTCCCAGAGAACTACTTTGGGTTTGAGGCACCATAAATAGAAGAACCTCAGAAAAAATGGAAGATGTTCAAAGACTAAAAGAACTTAAAGCCATGACATAGGAGGAAGAACGGCTGAGCCTCCAGAAGACTCGAGAAAGAAGTGAATACTGTCTTCATGCATGTGAAGATGCTGCTGAGAAGGGAACATGGATGCATTCCGAACTTCCCTCAGCAGGGAGACCCAAAACCAGCAGGTGGAAATGATCAAGAGCAGGTTCTACTCCAAAGTGGGAACATTTAACAAGCAGTTCTTCTATGCAACTTCAGGAGATCTTTTTGCTGTACCATTAATTTGTGAAATACTCATGGTTCACACCAACTGGTCAATCAGATGTATAAATGCTAGTGACCATGTAAAAGTATCTGGTGGCTGAAGTGGCCACAAGTGGGCAGAAGGCCAATCACATATAGGCAAGCACTGAAGAACAAATCAAAGAAACAAAATGTGTTTAAGAATTCAGTGTGTAACAAGAGATTTGTACTTTTTAAATTTACTCCATGCTTTCCACAAAAGAAAACAATCTTGAAGCTGACAAGAAGTAAAGATCCACAGTAAAGAATGCAAAAGCTCCACTGAAGACAGATTTCTTTACTCCAAAAATTATCTAGTGGCTCCCTGACTTGGCAAGCACAGCTTCCACACAAGGCTCTCCTGAGTTTCTTTACCTTGACCCTGCCTCACTTAGTTGCCTAAAGGTTATTCATTAGTCTTAAGTCTCTTGGTCATGTGCCCTTTAGGAGATTTGAATATAGTATGTAACTGTATTATTTTTTAATATCTGATTTTTTCCACTCTTAAGTTTAAATGGTTGCAAAAAGAATAATTTCATGTTAAAAATTTCAAATAAAACTTCATTATCACTCATTTAAAGAGTTAAAGTTGTATTTTGGATTTTGTATTATAGTTATTAATATGTAATTGATTGAGGCAACATGCTACACATTGGCCCTGCGGCACCCCAGAGTTATTCACACTCAGGATAGGAAAGTTTTCTACATGCTGGAGGAGGGGTGATTTTGAAAGGGAAGGTGGGAAGGAGAATATGCTTGAATCAGTGATACATTTTTTTCCTAAAGCATCATCAGTTTGGGAAGAAAAAAAGCACAGCATATGTGAATTGCTGTTTTGCACTTACTTCATTATATGGTTTGGCTGTATCCCCACCCAAGTCTCAATTTGAAATGTATCTTTCAAAATTCTCCCATGTTGTGGGAGGGACCCAGGGGAAGTAGTGGGATCATGGGGCTGGTCTTTCCTGTGCTATTCGCAGAATAGTGACTAAGTCTCATGAGATCTGATGGGTTTATCTGGGGTTTCCACTTTTGCTTCTTCCTCTTTTGCTTCTTGCTGCCACCATGTAAGAAGTGGCTTTCTCCATCTGCCATGATTCTGAGGCCTCCCAAGTCATGTGGAACTGTAAGGCCAATTAAACCTCTTTCTCTTCCCAGACTCAGGTATGTCTTTATCAGCAGCATGAAAACAGACTAATATACTCCACAAGTTTAGATGAACAAGCTTACCACAGACTGCCCAAAGATTTGAGCAAGCTCTTCAGATGCAAGTAGATCTCTTAAAAGAAAGGGGCATTCCTTCCCAAGCAGTAAAAATACCTAAAATCCAAACAAAAATTGTGTAACAATTGGATTATGAGCCAACAAACATTAAAAACATTATCCATGAAGCAACTGTTTGTACAAATGAGGGGAGAAAAATACTTAGACACTAATTGATTTCATAATCATTCAAAAGGCAATTAAAAATTTGTACCAAATGATTTTATCTTAGAGGAAAATAAGAAATCTGAGGGCAACTGTAAAATAGTTTAATGTTCATTCAGACAATTTAATGGGCCAATAATGAAAGAGATCTCACTTACATCACCCAAGGCTCGTTCTAGACATGACGTCAGTTTCATTAAGCTAAGAGAAATAGCAGGAGATTGTAGACTTTTCAAGGCATCAAATATTTCAGGAAATAACTGTTTAGAATAAAACACATATTAGGATGTGCAATCTAAAACTATTTCTCAAGGTAACAATATTATTTTTTGAAATTCAAACCTCTAAAGATTTCAACTGTCATATTTTAGTTATTTTCAGGGGATAAGTAATCATTTTCTGTATAATTATATTGCCTAAGAATCCATAAAAATATTTAATAGCTAAAGGATTCCTTGAAAGTTATTTAAATGTTTATTGAAAGCAACAAATCTGGTATAATTTAAGTGGAAAACTCAAGCATTTTGACCTCATCTTTTTCTCCTTTTGATTTGGCTGAGTCCTCAAACAGATACACACAAGGCTGCTCATCCTGTCACTTAAAAATGCTAGTACAAGGGGAATGCAATGATTCCTTCACTCCAAATTCAAAGCAGAATTAGACGTGTTATAGTTACTGCTTTACTATGGTCATTTAGTGTGCCAAAAACTGACCACAAAAACAGGCCAAAACAAAATTTTGGGTTGGGCCCCAAATTACCCATCCTCCCTTCAATTCCTCACAACAAACCAAGTATCCCAGCTCTGTTCTCCAGGCCCCACTGTCGTAGATGTCTTAGAACACCTCCATACCTCTCCACAGGGCCTCTTATTCTCAAGTGGTCAAGTTTTCTTCTGTCCCTGGATGAGCACCAAGTGCCAAGTGTTAGCTCTCCAACCCCTAATCCTGTGATAATGAATTCCTGTGTTCCAAGGGATGTCTCTCAGCTCAGGCTTTGGAGACCCTGCATAATAGCCAGGGTTCTCTTGCAACCCTCAACAGTTCTTTACAGTTGGGGGGCCTGGGGATGAAGGAGGCCCCTTTAAAATTGGCAAATAGTAAGTCCTCTAAATAGTATTTGCACAGTTTTTTATTTCTAAAGGTTGTTCAAAAGCCACACCTGTGGTAAACTTGTCCACTGGAACCATGGTGCATATTGAATTTCAAACTGCCCCTTGGTCAGAGATAAGAAATGTGAATGGACAGCTTCACACACAGGGCCCAGCAGCCTCACACTTCCCCAGTAATCCAGACCCTGGTCTTAAAGGATAAGAAAGCAAATTTTAGCACCATAGCTTCATATCATGTCATATAAAACATCTACATCATCAAAGAAGAAAATGCTTTAATTATGAAACTTCCACAAAATTAACAATCAGTTTACCATTGAACACATAATAAACTTTTTATGTTGTTGGAAATAAATCATATAATGCTTATCAGATTATAAAAGAAAAATATACTATCAGTAGAGAATTTGGAAAATACAAAACCTTTCAAACAAGAAACAACTATTTTTGTCAATATCTTTACCTGTACATAAATATACAGGAAACCAGGCTCACATTGTATACACAATTTTGTAACCTGATTTTTTCAAAGTTAGACCAGGCTCACTCTGTATATACAATTTTGTAACCTGGTATTTTTTTTTTTTAAAGGAGTTTCACGATTGTTACCCAGACTGGAGTGCAATGGCACGATCTCACCTCACCTCAACCTTCGCCTTCTGGGTTCAAGCAATTCTCCTGCCTCAGCCTCCTGAGTAGCTGGGACTATAGGCGCACACCACCATGCCCAGCTAATTTTTGTATTTTTAGTAGAGATGGGGTTTCACCTTGTTGACCAGGATGGTCTCGATATTTTGACCTCGTGATCCATCTGCCTCAGCCTCCCAAAGTGCTGGGATTATAGGCGTGAGCACCGCGCCTGGCCACCTGGTATTTTTTAAGTTAACATTATTAGAATGAGATTTCTTATGACAATGAATTACTTTAAAACATATTTATAATACAAAGTTTTTGTTGCTTTAATTTTTTTATATGAAGCTTCTGCTGTTTTCGTTTTTTTTATAAATTAGGGATTAACCATCCACTTGGTTAATGATCAATAAATAACAAAATGTGGCCAAGCACGGTGACTCACGCCTGTAATCCCAACACTTTGAGAGGCCGAGGCAGGCAGATCACCTGAGGTCAGGAGTTCGAGACCAGCCTGGCCAACAGAGTGAAACTCCATCTGTACTAAAAATGCTGGGCGTGGTGGCAGGCACCTGTAATCCCAGTTCCTCAGGAGGCTGAGGCAGGAGAATGGCTTGAACCTGGGATGCAGAGGTTGTAGTGAGCCAGGATCACACCATTATGCTCCAGCCTGGGGGACAAGAGCAAGACTTCGTCTCAAATGAATGAACGAGTGAATGAATGAAATAGCAAAGGGCAAATACAAACACATGCCCTTCCTGTTTTTTTTCCCACTTAGCTCCGAGATTTCTGTATCAGGCGAGCCTCCTCATTCTTTTCTACCACTACATAATATTCCATTACATGCATTTATCATAATTTACTGAACCAAACCCCTACTGCTTGATGTTTGGCTGTTTATTTATTAAAGGATAACCTTGCACAAACACACTTTCATATCTGTAGCTGTCTTAAAGATTCCTGAAAATGGACTGCTAGGCCAGAGTATGTTCATTTGTAATTTTTATAACTATTATTAAATTTCCCCACCCATATTTCTCAAGTGTGCAAGAATGCTTAGAAGACATTAAAAATAACTGTATAATCTATTACTGGTCATTTTATACCCTTAATTCATATGACTCCTATGGAAAATCATCTCAAGGCCCTGAGACCTACATCATCAACAGCCCACCAGCTCCTCTCTGCCTCCTGACACCTCTTCTGTAGAGGTGGTTTTCTTAGTCTAGCTTTCCATGAATTTTTCCATGCTTCTCTGGCCTCATCTCCTCTCTTTTCACATTAATTCCTTTTCTTCTTGGAGTCAGGTCTATATTACAACATTCTCTAATAAAAGGAAGCAATGGTCAGAAAGGGGAATTTTACAGGTCAAGACATTTTCAATAGAACAGTTACAAAAGTTTGGAGTACAAAGACAGCACAAACCTGACTCTGTGTAGCTCACACAGTCTGTGACTGTTTTCCAGCATACCTCACCATTCTGAGTTACAATGCTATTGATGTCACAATTTTCTCTGAGTTCAAACCCAAGATTACAAATTATATCATATACTGAGGGAGAAAGACATGTGGTAATAGGGGCCCCTATTAATACCTAAAAAAAAAAAGGCACTGATTAACAGAAAGAAAAATAGAGTATTATATATTTAAGTCACAAGAAAACTCTTAAGAACTGACTGAACTCAGGTGTAGTTACTATTAACATGCTTTCTGGATATCATGAGACCTTTATAATTACAACATTGTGATTAAATATTAAAGATATGTACATAAATGCTCTCAAATATGAGAAAGGTTTAAAGATTATCAATAATAATATTTGCAGACTGCTCTGCCTATGCGGTAGCCGTTCTTTATTCCTTTACTTTCTTAATTAAACTTGCTTTCACTTTTCTTTAAAAAAAAAACAAAAAACAAAAAACAAAAAAGATATCAGTTCACGGAAGCTCAGTGTGTTTTATGAACAGGGCATTATTTCTCTCAGCATTCCTTCACTATCCCAGAGTTATCAAAATAAACATTTTTTTAAATGGGGAATGGAAGAGCAGAAATCAAACATGATGAAAAAGAAGCAAAAAAAAAAAAAATACCAGAATCCCTCTGACTCACTAAATGGTGTTGAAGAAAACCACGATGTCATCACAAAACACGCCTCTTTGATATAAAAAAAAAAAAATCTGAGCTGAAGACAAGAGGTAGCAAATGAAGGAAAAGCTCTCTCTATCCTCCCCGTCTTCCGCCCAAAGACAGGATATAAATTCTTTACTGGAGGTAACTTTAGACTCTTAACAGACCAGAGAAGGCACCAGAGGAATCTACAGACAATTCTTACTCCATCAGTTTCCAAACATGTATCTACCTTCCCAGTTTCCTGACCTTTGAAGCCTAAAATTGTTTTACTGTGTCATTTCTCTGCAAATCTATAGTTCTTTGTTGAAGATGGTATGCAAATGTAGTTCTAAGCCATCATTTCAAGTTACCTTTCATTGAGGTTTATCCCTTGTGATGTGCACTCTGCATTAATAAACTTTTTTCTGGTTAACCTTTCTTTTGTTAAAGGTGTCACTCTGAACTGAGATGGGCAGAAGTAAAGTTTAGCCTCCTCTGCCATGTAAAAATTAGCAAGCCGTACTGGTTGTCCAAAATTTTCCACTAATTTTGGAGAATTAAATAAAATCAAAATCCTCACAATTATCCCACATGACACCAAGACCATGGTATAAACCTGCAAAGAAGTCAAATTCAGGATCTAAAGCTGAACCGAGGCTCTTTTATTTTGGCGTTTCGAGTTAAGGCGTGACTGTGTTGTGACGGTCACCATTAATTCTGGGCAGCCTCCTAACCTGGAAACTGATTAGTTTCAGTTCCCTTGTCCTGCTCAATACCAGTTACCCTGTTTACTCTTCCCGTTCCCCAGATGTTGCACTTTCCACTCTCAGCCCTGGTTTTCTAACAATCCCAGCAGGCCCTAACAGTTAAGGCATCACTAAAGAAATGTACATTAACTATTTGTTGATTGTGGCGATTGAGGCCTGCAATTAGGCCCTATGGGGCTAGAACTGTGAAGACCACACTGGGCTGGTGCTTTGGAGCTAGACTTAAATTTGATTCATTCCTCAGCCTCTGACTACCTCTTGCCTTGGAAAAGTGACTTAATATATCCGAGTCTCAGTTCTAACTGAAATAAAACGGTGCCAGACTGCATCTTATAGGGCTGCAGTAAAGAGATAATACAGGAAAAGCGCCTAGCACATGGTACTCAAAACTGGTAGTTATCATCATTATTTTGGAGACGGGGTCTGGCTGTCGCCCAGACTGTGGTGCAGTGGCGCGATCTCAGCTCACTGCAGCCTCCACCTTCCCGGCTAAAGTGATCCTTCTGCCGCAGCCTCCCGAGATGCTGGGACCACAGACGCCACCATGCCCGGCTCCGCTGTCGTTATTGCTGATTGGTATTTGATATTTAATTGCCTCAGGGAGGAAAAAAAAATAAAATATCCTGAGGCAACCACATATAACCAGATCTCCCGACACGAGGTCGGTAAGGCAGTCGTGACGAGTTTTATACTGTTACTCAAACGATCTAAAAGCGATGAACACAAATTTACTGTCAGGCAATGGCTAGGAAAATGAGCTTCTAGGAACGAGGCCACGGTCAGGTGAGAGCCCGGCCCCCGCGCCACCGCGCACAGCCCTCCCACACAGTCCGCCGCGTTTCAGCTCAGGGCCAGAGGGCGACAGACACACCGAGCCTGGCACAGGGAGGCCGGCAGGGCCCGCCCGGCGTTGAGCAGGGCTGAGAGCCCGATACCGCCGCACAGGCCGGGGCCGCGACGTTCCAGCGCGAGACCGCCAGCCACCGCAGGCGCCCGCTCGCCCACCCACTCCAGGTCTCCGAGCACCACGCAGCCTGGCGTTGACTCCCTGACCAGCCCCGGGGTTACCGGGCCGGGTACCCTCCCTACCTCCATAACTTCCGGCGCCGCGCTGAGGCGCACGTGAATGACGCAGGTGCCTGCCCGCCGCGTCTCCAGGCGCCTTGGCGCTCCGGCGGGCACTTCCGGCCGCAAGAGGCGCAGTGCTAGACTCCCGGTCTCGCGGGAGCCGCTGGGGCGTTTGACCGCCGGAGGAGAAGGGAAGGCGGTGGGCGTCTGGGCAAACAGAGCAAGATGGAGAAGCGAGCCCGAGGCGTGAAGCCGAGCGTCAACCACACCTTGAACCAGACCCCTCCGCAGGCGCCGCTGGCTCCTAGGAAAGAGAGAAGGCCTAGCATGTTCGAGAAGGAGGCAGTGAGTGCGGACACGGCGAGGGGCCCGAGACGGCCTTGTCCGACCCTTTAACTGAAGTCGCTCCTCAGGGGGCCCCCGCTCCTGACGGAGCTGAGGAGGCAGCATTTCCCTTTTCTGTTTCTTTATTCCCCAGATGCAAAATTGAAGACCGAGACTGAGTTGGGCAGCCCCCTTTGGCTTCAGTGCTAAGGTTTTCTTGGTGTTTTGGTTGGGGCCGTAGAACCTTGAGTAAATCGATGGACAGGGTGGTTGCAAGATCACCTGCAGCCCTTTTCAGATTTACTCCGCTTGCGGACTTCCCGACACTACCCTGAGCATTATCGCTTTGTACTAAAACACATTATGTTACTGTATCTAGTGCCATCCTAGGCAGTTTTGCTAGAGAAAAATGAGTGTATGCTGTATTTTGTAAAAAAATGGATGAACCAGGTAGAATAGTGCCATGTTTGGGATCTTTAAAAACATAAGCAGTCTGGATATTTGATGAATATAAAGGAGAAAAAAAAAGTTGAACGTATTCTGTCCAAAACTTATTGTCTGGTATTGATGGAAAGGGTCATGGTTTAGTTTTATTTGTGGTATAACACAGGTATTTCTATATGATTATGCTTTGAAAACTGTTAATGTGTTCAAGACTCCACCTTTTGTTGATACTTAACAGAAAACTAGTTTGCCCAAAAATACAAACATGTAACGATAGAGCTGGGACCAGAACTTGTATTCTGGTGCTCAGGCCACTTGGCCTGTGCTGATTTCTTTTCATACCTACTTCATGGACCTTTAATAGGATGAAAACAGATAACAAGTAAAACAATTTTTGAAGACCCTAAAACAGTTTAAGAATACTCTCAGATAAAAAGAGAATTCTCAAAATAAGTAATGGCGAAATTTCAGGTTCTAATAATGTTTCCTTGGTGTCTAAATTTTAGAGAGGAATGAACAAACTAAAGGACGAAAAGTAAACAGACCAAGTTTACACAGCTAAGAAAAAGAGCAGGGCAGGGCTATAAACCTAAATCAGCTTGACTTAAAGCTTCACACTCCCAAACACTATGCTGTATCGCTTGGCAATAAGTCTTGAGTAACAAGTCACCAAGAGTAAAGAAAAATTTCTATATATTGAGGCAGACAAGGGTGACTTTTATAAACTGCCTATTTGAGGTCTGAAGTGGTCTTTAAAATTTAGTGAGCCTGAACTCAAAACGAGGAGAAACATGTGCACTTGGTACATAGGTTAAAATCTGGGAGTGAGGGGACATGGACCAAAGTAGTTATTGCTTATTTGATATGGATGTGATCAATTATAGCTATCTTTAAAGGTGAGAAATTTGAATAGAACAATAATTGGGAAAAATCGAGAAAGGACTCTACAAAAACTCACTAAATGTACCTGAGGAAACTGTGCACTTAGTCATTTCTAATTTAAGGTAGTTTTTAATTTTCCTATTTCTGAGCATGGAAAAATTAAGACATACCATTTAACCAATGACTGTCTCTTGGTTTTATCTGTTTTGCCTCCATTTCCTTTTTTCTAGTGGTAGCATGTGGGCAACTTTTAGGGAATTGACTCATCTGCAATTGTATAGAGCTTTGTTGAGATTGTCAGCTACTTTCCTTGACTTTGGAATGAGGATGAAACCCAAACTAAACTAATTAGATGAATTCTTTGAAATAATGCAAAGAAAATGATTGAGGTTGAAGATGAGAAGCTTAAGTGCTCCATGTGTCTTTCTGAATCTGGTTCATCGACCTTCTCTGCTGTTATGTAAACTATATCTTTCCAATAAATTATGCTTTTGCTTAACAAGAAAGAATGAGTTCCTGTTGCTGTGATCAAAGGTCACAAAATGCAAAGTAGATGACTAAAAATGGAAAACTTTGATTGTTCTCTCTTGTGTGCATGCATTTGAAAATCTTAAACACAGCTGGGTGCAGTGGCTCACCTGTAATCTCACCACTTTGGGAGGCCAGGGTGGGCAGATCACCTGAGGTCAGGAGTTCAAAACTAGCCTGGCCAACATGGCAAAACCTCGTCTCTACTAAAAATACAAAAATTAGCTGAGTGTGGTGGTGGGCACCTGTAATCCCAGCTACTCAGGGAGGCTGAAGCATGAGAATCGCTTGAACCCAGGAAGAGGAAGTTGCAGTGAGCCAAGATTGTGCCACTGCACTCCACCTGGGTGACAAGAGTGAGACTCCATCTCAGTAAAGAAAAGAAAAAGGAAAAAAATCTTAAACACTAGCTTGTGGCATTTAGAAATAAAAGTAATATGCCCAAGCTCATTTTATTTTAGGACCATGTGTAGGCTTAATATGAGGAAATGCTACACCAGTAGAAACTCAAGTATTATTAGGTGCCAAAAAGTTGATCATATTTAAAGCCTAGTTTTTAAAAATGTTATAAAGATTCTTAATAAAAGGAATAACATACTCTTCATCTTAGAAGCATTAATGGTTATTTTCAGGCCACACATGAATGCCCCATTTCCTTGAGAATCAATGCAGTTGAGAACCACTGTTAATGATACTATGTAGTTGTAACCCTTGCGTATACTGTAGAGGAAAGGAAGGTCCCAATCACTGCCCTAGAGAAGCATTCTCTTAATAAACAAGAACAAAATGATTTTGTTTTTAAGAGGTTAAGGGAGCTAATAATGCTGCTTCTGGAAATAAGAGGCACAGAAACCTGACAGATGATCACAGCAGGAGATTTATTTCTGGTGAGCAACTTTTACTTGCAGCCAATATGGAGTAATTCTTAACCAGAAACTACTTAACACACAAAAATATATGGAGCAATTGTTTCCATTGATTGGGTGTCAGGCAGGACAAGAGAGTAATTTCTGAGAGATGAGAAAAGATAAGGTGAGCCCCCATACTGACCCCACTTTAATTGCCTGGTGAGAGTTTCCAGGCTACAACACAAGGAAAGGCCTCCTTTAGTTCAAAAGGAGTTGGGAGCCTGGGAAGCCAAGATATCATGAGACTGAAGAATAGAGTATTAGGACAGGGCTGCACAAACCACCCAAAGATCTACAGAGGGTTTCCCTGAGTATTCAGCTCAGTGCAGCAGTGCATCTAGTAAGGAAAGTTCTCACCAGAGATGGAGAGTGGAAGTAGAGAAAAATCACCCAAAAGGAATAGAAAAAAAATCCTTGGATGTGTTCCCACCAGAAAAAGTGGAAAACCATGAAAAATATAGAGCTTTGGTTAGAGTGCTATGAAGTGTATTTTGCCTCATCAGTGGGAAAAAAATAAGAGAATGATTTCTCTGATCTGGCCTATCAAGGCTGAGAAGCAAGACTCAAGAGAATGAAACTGTTTCCAAATGTCTTTGTTCTAGAAGAAAGCTCAAGAGTTTTAGGAATACAAAAACATCCAGCCTATAAAAGGTAAAATTTCACACTCTCTGGTCTCTAAATATTAACAGACCTGTAGAAAAGCAGGAAAATAAAATTTGAAATAGAAGAAACAGTAAAAACAGCCCAGGAATTACAGAAAAAACAGAATTAGTATAAACAGACATTAGTTATGAGAGTTATTAGTTTTCATCAAATCAAATCATACATTATGAAATTATTACATTATATTTAAGAGTATAGAGAAAGATTTCGCATGTTAAATGCAAATCAAACTTCTGTAGATGAAAAATACTATGTCAGGGATGAAAATACACTAAATGGTACTAACAGCAGATTCAACAGTGCAGAAGAAAGGACAGTTAGAGATATAGAAATCTTTTGGGGGCGGGTGCTCAAAAAAGGTTACAAGATGTCAATGAGTTTTGACAGAACTTAAAGTAGCCTAATGATAATTTGAGTCACCAAATGAGGTAAGAGAGGACAGACAAAAAGTATTTGAAGAAATTACTTTGAAGAATGTGATGAGAAATTTCCAAATTTGATGAAAACTGCAAACCCACAAATGTAAGAACCTCAGTGAAATCCAAGCACAAGACCCATGAAGAAAATTATGCCAGGACATACAATAATAAAATTGCTTGAAACCAGTGATTTAAAAATGTAAAGGCAACTAGAACAAAGCAACATTATGTATATAGAAACAGACAAAATGACAGTGTACTTCTCAGAAGCAATGTAAGACAGAAATCACTGAAGCATCATCTTTAAGGACTGAAAGAAAACTATCAACCTAGAATTCTATACTCAGCTAAAATATTCAAAAAACAAATATAAGACTTTAAGCTTCTTGTTCTACATGTGAGGGGCTTAAAGTTTCTACTGTGTCCTAACAAGTAAAAAGCTGAACAAACTGGACAAATGAACTCTCCTTAGATCCATAAGAGAAGTGAAGTCACAGGACAAACTGCTGCCCCCAAAAGTAGAGTGACAAGCAGCAGTTTGCTCTGTGACCTCACTCCAGCCCTACTTAGCCATCCTGTATGACTTAAGCAAGTAGGGGGGAAGAAAAGCAGAAAACTCAGAAACACCAGTGAAGTTCACAGTCCAGGAGCACAGGTTCACTAAAAGACCTAGTCATAGAATTATAGAATGCTTCCTCTCCGCTAATACCTTACCAGCACATTACTAGAGGCCTTATTATTAGCAGTTTCTTTACCCAGTGAAACATGTCTGGCTATCATGAAGAAAATTAGGCATACTAAACAACAAAGACACAAAGTAAACATCAGAACCAGATATAGCAGGGATGTTGGAATTATCAGACAGAATTTAAGATAACTATAATTAATATGTTAAAGGGCTGTAGTTGATATAATAGCATTCAAAAACAGATGAGCAATGTAAGCACAGAAACAGAAATCCTAAGAAAGAAACAGAAATCCTAGACACCAAAAACACTGTAACAAAAGAAGAAACACTGTAACAAAAGAAGAAATCTGAAAAGAAATTTAAAAAATATTTTGAGCTAAGTAAAAATGAAAACATATCAAAATTTGTAGAATGCAGCAAAAACAGGGCTTGGAGGAAATGTATAGTATTAAATGTATGTACATATTAGAAAAGAAAGAGCTAAAATAAGTTAAGCTTCTACTTTACCAAACTAGAAAAAGAAGGAAAGAAATAATAAAAATTATAGCCAAAATTGATGAAATTGAAATCAGATACCAACAAAACCAAAACCTTTTCCTTTGAAAAGATCAATAAAATCTATAAGCCTCTAGCCAGGTTAAGAAAGAGAGAACACAAATTACTAATAGCAGAAATGCAAGTCAGGATGTTGCTGGAAATTTTATGAACACCAAAAATATAATAAAATAATATGAACAATTCTGTGCCAGAAATTTGGTAGCATAGATGAAATGGATCAATTCTTTAAAAGATGCAACCTCCCAAAACTTATACAAAAAGAAATAGATCATCTGAATGAGCCTATATGTGTTTTTAAAAATTGAATCAATAACAACCTTCCAAAGCAGAAATCACCAGGTTCAGGTGATTTCCTTGGTGAATTCTACCAAGCATTTAAGGAAAAATATGTATCAAAAATCTACAATCTCTTTCAGAAGATAAAAGTAGAGAAAATACAGTCTAACTCATTTTATGAAGTCAGCATTAGCCTAATAGCAAAGACAGACAAAGACACCACAAGAAAAGCAAACTACAGACCTGTGTCATGTGTTAACACTGATGCAAAAATTCTCAACAAAATACTAGCAAACTGAATTCAGCATTTTATATAAAGGATTTGACACCAAGACCAAGTGAAATTTGTTCCTGGAATGCAAGGATGGTTTAACAGCTGAAAACTGATCAAGGTAATACATCACCTTAACTAAATGAATAAACCACATGAGATCAATCTCAATTGATGAAGAAAAAGCATATGTCAAATTCAACACTTTTTTATTATAAAAACATCCAACAAACTAGTAATAGGAGGAAACTTCTTCAACATAGTAAAAGCTCTATGAAAACTGCACGGCAAACATCATACTTGATGAGGAAAGACTGAAAGCTTTTCCTGTAATATTAGTAACAAAGCAAGGATGTCCACTTTTGCCACTTTTTTCCAACATAGAACTGGAAATTCTAGCCAAGCAATTAGGCAAGAAAAGGAAATTTCTGGCTGATAACAAAATGAGGCTCACTGCTTTAACTTAAAGAGGCTAGAGCATTTATCTGGAACATATTAGGCACTAAATAAATATTTCATTAATGCATATTGAATGTCACAGAATGGATGTTTCATGTCAAAAGCATGAACTGAGTATATGTAGAATCAATGCACTTTTGGTGTTTTTTCAGCTTAAGACTTATGGATGTGCTACCTAAATAATTTTATTATTTAAAGATAAGTAAATAAAATAAAATTTCAGGACAATGAAGGATAATATTTTCATAATCTCAGGATAGGGAGGAAGAAAGGTTTTCCCTATATCTTCATCCCATAGCCACTCAGTTGCCCTCCTTGAAGACCACTCTTGTTTCTAGTTCCTTTGAATCATCCATGGTCTTTTGCCAAATTGATAGCCGGGAATGAATCTAAGATTTAGTAACCACATTATTGTATAAATCTGTTTAACAGATTTCCATTATTTTCAAGCTTTGTGTGAGCCCTGTACCACTGTACAGTGTTCTCTAATCTAAAATCTAATTTTACAGTTTAAAAATTAATCTTTTCTCCCCTTTTCTCTTCCCCTCTTTCTCCTCCAGTATGCACAGATTTTAAAAGAAAGACTGAGAGAGTCAATTCATGATGTTCAGTATGTGGAGCCTCCTTTTGATGACTCAAATGCTGATATAGGTAAAGAATGGAAGAGTGCCCTGGCAAAATTAAAGTTTGCTAATTCATACAGAATGGAGCCATTGAAGAAATTCCAAGCTCATTCAGTAGAAACTAAAGTCCAGCAGATACTAACAGTAGGTTGATAAATATATATATGATAGCAGTATTGTATGAGGGTTATATATATATAATCTCTTTCTCTGGAGATTTCTTCATATATATGCATATTCATATATATATGTGTGTGTGTGTGTGTGTGTGTGTGTGTGTGTGTGTATGGGAATAAATGTCTCTCTCTCTCTCTCTCTCTCTCTCTAGAGAGAGAGACATTTATTCCAGGAATTGGTTCATGCAATTGTCATTAGAACCAGAAGCATTGTGTCATTGGTGCAGGCACAACAAGTCAGTTATCAAAGATGTGTAGTCTGCCTGCTAGGTGTCCAGTTCTGCTCCTGGTTTGTAAGAAAGTATAATGCTTTATACCCCACTAGCCA